CCAGTATGTGCCATCGGCCCCTCCGACCACTGCCAACTATTCACACACTCTAGGTAATGTGGGTGAAGTGTCTTGCCTAAGGACACAATGGCAGTTTGACACTCCAAATCTGCTCAGTTTCATGTTTAGTCCTCAAATACCAGATTCGTCGTGTTAACTGTAGTTCTGCTGCTGCCTCCTCTCCTAAATCAACATCAAAAACTGCTTTTGTGCTGTCCTCGTTTTCTGATGAGAAATACTTCCATACTTTTGACATGTTTTAACTAGTAGCCACATAAATGCCATTACTGAGCTTTAAAGGTGCACTGCGTTAGCCTGGTTGTACCACACCTTAGTACAAATTACATTTCATACTGGTCTGGAGGTGCTCCATTGAGCTCAGTGAACAGGTGGGAGGGGTTAACTCCTTTTGCAGATTGAAACGATTGGATCTGAGTTTACCGTGACGTATGTAATGCGCCCGAGTGAGTTGTTAGCATTAGCATTTAGCCTAGCCATCTCCTTTGCTGCTAACGGAGCCCGTGGGGAGTAGCGCCACAATCTTGACCAGCGATTACATTTGCTAAACATTTCTCTTGCTCCTGCTTCAATTTCTTGATAGAACCAGACCGGAATACTTTACTATCGCATTCTTCGCCACTGCCAAACTACAACCGGCTCGTTCGGCGCAAACTCTTGACGTCACCGGCACGACCTACAACATCCGCCTTCCGCGCTCTCTGAGTAGCCGGTCGAAATACGACCGATTGTAATCGCTAACACAGGGACCAGACCCAGACGTTACATGCAGTGAAATGATGATTGAGCGGAGTGTACGGATGGCCAGGCTAGCACTGCGTAGGTTTTACTCCATCTAGAGTTGAGATCATATATATTGCAAGTTCTACCACCAACACCTTCGAGGTCCATATGTCGTGTTTGACAGTGGTCCCCAACACCCGTCATTCAACCAGACCAAAAAAAAATTAATTCTTTAGTTTGATAAATGACACAAATATTCCGTTTATATACTATTCTGGAGATTATTCTGCGATGATTCTGTGTGTTTTGCATCTTTGAGGCTTGACTCTGAATATGTTTTGTTGAAACTTGTGACATAGTAGTTGTATTCAGAGTGGGCCAGAACATCCTGAGACCTGTGTTGCATATTATGCCACGTTCTCATTAATGTCAGTGTGAAGAAAATTACTGTCAGTGTGAAAAAAGTTACGTATGGTTCACATGTGCACATGTTGTGTACAAACTACAGCAAAATGCCTCCTGATGTTTTAACTCTGCCTTTCGGTGCGTGTGGTTTGCGATGTGGACACTTTGCTGTTTTGATAGATACTTTATAGATCCCCCATATGAGAAAGTCAGGTGTCCAGTAGCTGCGAAAATAAAAAATAAAATGTATCATTCTAAAAAGCTAACTATCTCTGCTCTGGACCAGTGCAAAACCACGAACACTGTACAGCAGCAACATCTCAGATAGAAAGAAGCAAGACAACTAAAAATTGTAACGCTGGTTTCTAGATTTTTGCATATTTCTTCTTTTAAAAGATTGTTGTACGGGTAGTTCTTTTACAAAACTGTGGTCCTCCATGGTTCCTACTAGGAGTGTGACGATATATCGAAAAATCTATATATCGCCACACTCCTAGTAGGAACCATGGAGGACCACAGTTATGTAAAAAAAAAAACTTTCTCCCGCAATTTCTTATTGATATGCATTTCCCAAATATCACTTTTGAAAAAAAAGAAAATTGTATCAATACTTAATATATGACTACATTACACATGTCCATTCCATTTATTATAAAATAAAGTGTATTTTTTCACTTAACATTTTTCTATTTTATGTATGCCATATATTGGCATATGGTATATTGCTGACCAATATATCGATAATCGTCATATAGTGATATTATCATATCGTGATATAATCGTTATCGTAAGCTTTGTATCGCGTATCGTATCGTATTGTGAGGGGTACGTAACTAGGGGTGGGAACCCTTAGGTTCCCACCCCTAGTTCCTACTTCAGAGTTGTGAGGGCACAGTGAAAGCAACTTTATTAGTAGCACCTGTGAAACAAAAACATGATTCTTGTGTCCTTTTTGTTCCTTTATGAACCTATGTCTTTCAAGATGGCGCATTGACATGGACAGTCCTCAGCTCTCATGGACATTTATAAATTCTATGTCTATGACAACAATTCAAAAACATGGTGGAGGTAAATATTTCCTAAGAAAGGTCTAAGTTTTTGGTTAACATGTTTTTTTTTTTACTGTAAGCAACTGCTTCTTCACAACAACAACTGTAAAGATTGGGTGAGTGGACCGGGCAGTTTAGCCAATCCCCAATGAGTCAAAAACTGTGAAATATCAGCCTGATCCTGATCTCAAGATTGTATCAAAAGGAAAGTTGGGATGTTCAGAAAAAGTCAAATAGTGTGCCTAATATCCTTCAGAGTGTGCCATTTCCTTGAAGGACAAAAGCGTTTGTATCAGCACCTTTAGTGGGCTTTAAAAAGATAAGCAGTTCCTGAGATGGTGTGCTCTTCTCTAATCACCAGTGAACAAGTACATGAAAAGAAAGCACAACATACTGCAGATAAAAGCTTGTAGGTGGGCAGTAGCTACAGAAGGTGCGGTCGATTTGAAGACTTTCCCATTTGGGGGTTAATGAGCTTCTCACCAGAGTAATACTTGCTTCACTCGCACATAAAATTAATCAAGTGCACAGCTGCCAGTCACTTAAGAGCCAATTCTAAGTCTCCATTAAGACCTGGCAATCAACAGCTAATCATTTAGTTTTACAGACTGACAAAGAGGCAATACGCACACACTACAACAGTTGCAATGAATATAAAAAGGCATATTCCAACAATATCTTTACATAATAACATAGAATAAACAACAAATCATATGTAATAGCTGCATGCTAGATATATTAGATAGATACTTTATCGATCCCCGTAGGAGAAATTCAGGTGTCCAGAAGCAGCAAAAATAAAATATAAAATTGATCATTCTAAGAAGCTGACAACAACAAAAGCTAAGAGTGTAAATACTCTCTTGGGTACAATCTCAACACTATAGGTACAACCAGGCTTAAAAGTCAGACATTTAAAAGAAATATTTGAATAGACACTGCATAACTTAGAACATAAAGTTAAAAAAAAAATTAAACAATGAATGCTGTTTCAAGCTAAAAGAAATACAAAAAAAACAAAACACACAGAACCACCAGCTCTGTTGGAAGTGTGAAATATCCAACATAATGCAAGATTTGGGCAAGCAATTTCTCTGAGGAATGGGAAATTTAAATATAGTTGATAGCAAAATGTTAAACACAATAAGTAATATAACAAAACTATTCATTATTTATCAAAAACAACAAACAAATAAAGGAAGGGATAAGTACCTTAGTTCTAACTTTTTTATGGTGGAGATGCAATCACAGCATCATGTAATTTTAATTATCTCTAAATGAGGCACTGTTGTAAGAACACTCTTGTTTAATTCAGAACAAATTGCATTGAAGATGACATTTCAACTTTTCCTTTGAAATCCTTTTACAGAATTGTATTTATAGTATGTAACCCAATTAGTCTAATTGCCTTTCCCAGTGCCAGCTTTGCTCAATGTTGCATTATGTGACAATTATGAACTTGACCTTTCAAAAGAACTGTGCTTTCGTTAAAACAGAAAACATTGCAAAAATTGTAATCTCTTTTAACTCACAGAATACTACATTGTCTTTCTTCATCTGAGCACACAGTTTTCACTTGGCTTTGTTTTTGTTGAGGATTTTTGTAACCTCCATCCATTACACCTGCTCTGTCGACTGTATAAGAATCATTAACATAATTCCCAACACGGCTATCTGGCTAATACAGGCGCCGCGCGGTCCACAGAAACAACACATATCAAGCCCAGATTTATTCGGGGAGCAGTGCCGCTGCTGCCCAAGGCACCAATCAACATGCCTACACTGCCTAATCTGAATCCATTCACTGTCACATTCTGCAGCCTCCTGTTCCAAGAGACACAGACCTATTCACTTTTTAACATCAGAGCACCAGAAAGATAATGTATGGAGATAAGCACTTTACAATTCATTAGGCGGGCTCCCGGGAACAAACGCACACAACCAGGACACTGCAATGTGTTACTGCTAATGTTGTGTTGTCTCCTCAGTGGTGAAGTGCAGCAGAAAAACACCAGACTCCTGTGGCACGGGAGCTTTTATGTAAATATTTAGGGATGTCAGTTCACACTCCTGCATGTTAAGTGTGGCACAATGACAGACTCAAGGCTTTAGAGTTGGAATTTGGCACTGTTATCACATTTTTGCACAGACTTAATTTCACATCTAAATTGTTTGGGACAGCTCAGGGGGTCCTTGTTTCAGGGAGATAGTGGCCTATAATCTCTTCATGGTCCTGTTTTGCCTGGTCCCCTGGTCTTCCTTGAGTGACTTCTTGCTGCTTGGACAAGGCACAACAAAGGGTTCACTTGGCTGGACTTAATGCTACCAAAAAGATGGAAGCCCCCTCACTTGCTGTAGTGTAGTATCAACCGGTGGTGCAGTATTGTGGACCCGTTTAAGACAGTGTTTATTTTTTAATTTTTTTTGAGTTAAACAGATTACTTGTAAACACCAGATTACGTTTTTATTTGTTTTAGTTTTCTGTAATGCATTTTCTTGGTAAATTGATTTTATTTTTCCTTTTCCTGAGTTTTATTAAATTAAATGTTTAAAAACCTCTTGCCTGGGCAAAAATCTCGTTGGATTAAGATTACAGCAAAATATTTTGATGCAATGCCCATGTTGGACATTTGCTTAATGAACCTAGATAGAGCTGTTCCATTGTATTTGTTCAGTTAAAAAGTTATGTGAATGCAACACCACAACTGCGGGCAGTGTTCAAAACTCTCCGATTTAAATGCGTATCTGGGGATTTTAAGAGGAAACGTGCTGCAGGAGAAAGATGATGCAGGGATCTGACTTTACCTTCTGTGGGGTTGATCGCCTCTGGCAAGTGTTCCCACGGGACAGTCCAAGAGGGGCACGGATGTGGAAAGAACATGGCCTCGATACCATTTTCCTATGGGAGGAACACGCATACAAATGCAAACATTAAGGGTGCGTCAGAGATAGAGGATTAAGTTGAGCTTTGACCGCTTGTAAAACTAAAAAAAGTTTGACTGAGGCTCTAAATGAATAATGAGTTTGAGATTTCCAATGTGGGTGTTCTGGGAAGTGGTCATTTGCAGTTTCCATCTACAAAAACCACAGACCAGGGTTTTTTTTTTAAGTGTGTGAATATGAAGCAGAAAAAGGGGGAGCAGAAGTGATATAATCAGAACAGCTAAACAGATCAATAAATTAGAGCAATAAATACAAAAAATATTTGTGAGAAAAATTGAAAAAATGGCAGGTAGAGGTAAAAGGTAAAGGTGCACTTTATTAATTCCCGTAGGACAATTCATCCTCTGCATTTGACCCATCCTGATGCCACTAAGGCTTCTGTCAGGAGCAGTGGACGCCGAAGTACGTCAAGTCTTGTAAGTCTTGTAGATTCAGGAGCTCATTTTAATACTCTTTATTAAAATGTTTTAATAAATATAGAAACATTTGGATGAAAATAAACTGTACATAATTCAACGGTAGCCTAAAAAGAGAATTAACTAAAAATAAATGTACAGAATTATTGTTCAATATCTAATGGATGATGCAGCAATGTTCTGATGGCTACATGCTCCAGGGCAGGGAATAATAGCGATAACTGAAAGGCACACCGCGGACTTTGTGACCTAAAGAGTTGACACATATGAGTTATTTTATATGAATACTTGGGCCAATATACAGCGCTTGACACTTGCAATGCTCCGAGCGGGGCTGCCCTCTTGAAATACCGCCCATGTAAGTTTCGAGCAGACGGACCGTCTGCCACCAGGTCACGTGACTTGGAAGAAAGACTTGCTTTATGGCTACAGGCGCTGATATACTCATGGAGCTAAGGCTTTTGCTACTCATTTTTCACCTGCTCGACTCCTGGTCATGGCTGAGGCAAGGAAAAATTTTAAACCTTCGGAGGAGGCTAAAAAGAGGAAACGCGAAAGGGATCGTGCTGTAAGCTGCATGTCTGTATGAGCGCTGCTCTTCACCTGGTTCCTGGATGTCATCGACTGCAAAGATGTCATTCCACGCAGCACGAGCTAGACGCAGAACTCCCTCATCCAGGATATAGAAGTCCATGTGTGGTAGATTACTAATGCAGCGGTCTGGAGGCTGACCACAGCAGAGTCTCTCAATATCTGTAGGCATGTCTCTACAGTTTGAACACACACACCAGTGCATGCTGTCTGAATACACACTCAAAAGACACCGGCTGACTGTTTGTTGACTTTTGCGACAGTGCTGAGTTGCTTGTGGCCACTAGGGGCGCTAAACGTGAAAGTTGCAGGTCTAGCGCCCCTAGTGGCCAAGAGTTACACGGTGTGCCTTTAAACAAACAATTTCTAATCTTATTGTATCACATGAGGGACCAACATTCAAACTGCAAAGCCTCGTTCCCGGTTGATCTTGATGCAATTCACAACATGACATTAGACACACATTTACAGTACAATGGTTGACACAAAACAGCTGCAACTCAGACATAGTGCTGGCGACATGCAGCCATCCTTATAATCCTTTCAGGCGGAGAGAGAATGGTGGCTATTGTTTGCACCCAGTCCTCCCGGTGTTAATGTGTGATTTCACCCTGAGTCAAAACTGTCATTTTCTGCACGCCTGTGCCTAGCAACACTTCTATTGGCAACATGCTACTAAAGAAAAAAAACTCCTAAAGCCTGACCACCCAGCCTCACAGCCCACTCAAATCTCAGTGTCCTGTTCCTAAAACTTGATACAATTTCATAAAGTCAGTCATGAGGAAACAATCTTCTACACATTGTATCAAACTGTTCAATAAATATATACGCTGACGATGACACAGTTGTTTATTCATCTAATTGTCCAGAATCCGTTCAAGCTTTATGAACTGATGCATAAAGCTTTTGACTTTACATCAGTTCAAAAGTGGCTTCATAACAATAGATGAATTCTCAATATGAAGAAATCCTGTTGTATACTTTTTGGAACACAACGCAAACTTCTTGATTCCCCTCACCCCCATATCCAATTTAGTGATGGGTCAAAGATGCATAAAGCTGAATCCTATAAATATCTTGGTCTGTGGCTGGACCCATAGCAGCCTTTCAAAACCCATATTTATTACATCATAAAAAGAGCATACACCACCTCCGTTTTGTGCATCCAGCTGTTTCACCCAGGCAGTAAAAAAATAATAACACATCTAGTTCTACCCATCATAGATTATGCTGATAAGATTCATACCTCAAACCTTTAAATACACTTTTCAACAGTCTCTGTAGATTCATTCTCAAACGTCCATATCAAACTCAACACAACTGGTTACCAACCAACAACAGGCGTCATTTTCACTGGATGCAGTTCCTTTTCAAATGTATTAACTGTCCCTTATAATTAGAACAGTTTTTTCCCCATTTCACCAACCTATTCACTTAGAAGCACTAACCACCTCACCATTTCTGTTCCAATAATCCACAAAGAAGTCAGAAGCAGATCATTTCTATTCCAGGCGCCATCTGATTGGAACAGACCCACATCCATAAGATCCTTAACCTCCTTTGACTTATTTAAAATTGGAATTATCTTACACCTGCTTGCTCATGATACTAGCTGTGTTTTGTAAAACCTGTACTGTGTTGTAAGTTGTATTATCCTGCAGCTGTATGTATGGGCTGTATCTGAGTGAGCAAACCTTTGTGTGTGAAATGTGTAAATGTAAATTGTATTGTATTATATGCATTGTGTTTGTTTTATAAGTAAGTAAGTAACTAATCTTTATATGGCTCCTTTTTGCAGAGTAACAAACCGCTTTACAATTGTTGTGGGCATTTGTCACTCCTCACAGAGTTGGGAGCGAGGTCACCTACAGGAGGCGCATGCCAGACCTATTGTGCATGTTTTTAGTGGTAGGGGAAACTGGAGCACCTGGAGGAAACCTATGCAGACACTGGAAGAACATGCAAACTCCACTCAGAAAGGCCCTTTTCCGACCGGGATTAAAACCCAGGACCTTCTTGCTGAGAAGTGAGAGGGCTATCCACTTTTGAAAATGAAATACAGCATCTCAAATAAACAAGCCTAAGTGGAACATTAGGTGGCTTAAGTGTAAGGGTGTGGCCCTGAAAAATAGACTATTACAGTGATATACATATAACACTTTAACAATTAATATGTAAAATATTGTTCAATAAATCAGTCAATCTCTATGGGGTAAGGTTACTGTCAATAAAGACGTGCATGTCTAAAAAAAATGCGTGCATATTTATTGGTATTTGTGCATAAAAATATTTTATTAATTCATGATTAAGATAATACAAACTAAAAAGACATGGAATTTCGTAATTAAGAAAAAATAAAAAAAATATAAAACTATGTGTGATTTTGTTTTTGTTAATGCGATTTTTTTTGTGTGCTTGCATTTTCTTTTTGAGAATACGAATTTCAGCAGTGTGCAAACTGTCAATATTACGTCACTGCTCACAGACATTAACAATCAAGCCTGCGCAGAGTTGATCATGGCAGAAGGCAACAACATTAACAATTTGGCTCAAAATCAAGTATATAACTATATTTGATCATTTTGGTCGTAAATAAATATGTAAGAAATATTAATTCCATAAAATGTGTTCATAAGATGTTTCTTGTCCCTCTCTAGAAACGTTTTTTTTAGGCAGTGTTTAGTTAAGGCTAGCTTCAATGCTAGTTTTACAGCTTACGATTTAATTTTAAAACCAACATTTTTACATTCTTAGCATTTACATTTTATGAAGCCTTTGCCCCGAATCAATGTGATTAATGAGTTGATTCCAGCCCCAATCCTCCAGATTATTCATAGTTCGCGCTGTTACTGCCCCTGAGCAATATGAAGAACACCTCCGTGCTATACTCATCCTTGGTTGTTAGACGTAGCAGACCCTGTCCCTGTGGACCTCAATCTTATATTTGTGAGTACATTTGACACATTACTTTTACTCACTAGTTCAGAAACGCTAGTTAGTCTGTTGTTATTTTCTGTAGAATAAAACAATATAAGGATAAGAAAATAAAACTAGCATAAGAAACAGCTTATGAACACATTTATGGAATTAATATTTCTTACACATTCATTTACGACCAAAATGATAAAATATAGTTATATACCTGATTTTGAGCCACTATATTTATGTTGTGTCCATCTGCCATGTTTAGTTTTGGGGCAATGAAGTTGATCAACTCTGCGCAGGCTCGATTGTTAATGTCTGTGAGCAGTGACTACAGTGCCTTGCGAAAGTATTCGGCCCCCTTGAACCTTTCAACATTTTGCCACATTTCAGGCTTCAAACATAAAGATAAAAAAAATAATTTTTTTTTCAAGAATCAACAACAAGTGGGACACAATCGTGAAGTGGAACAAAATGTATTGGATAATTTAAACTTTTTTAACAAATAAAAAACTGAAAAGTGGGGCTTGCAATATTATTCGGCCCCCTTGCGCTAATACTTTGTAGCGCCACCTTTTGCTGCAATTACAGCTGCAAGTCGCTTGGGGTATGTCTCTATCAGTTTTGCACATCGAGAGACTGGAATTCTTGCCCATTCTTCCTTGCAAAACAGCTCGAGCTCAGTGAGGTTGGATGGAGAGCGTTTGTGAACAGCAGTGTCCAGCTCTTTCCACAGATTCTCGATTGGATTCAGGTCTGGACTTTGACTTGGCCATTCTAACACCTGGATACGTCTATTTGTGAACCATTCCATTGTAGATTTGGCTTTATGTTTTGGATCATTGTACTGTTGGAAGATAAATCTCTGTCCCAGTCTCAGGTCTTTTGCAGACTCCAACAGGTTTTCTTCCAGAATGGTCCTGTATTTGGCTCCATCCATCTTCCCATCAATTTTAGCCATTTTCCCTCTCCCTGCTGAAGAAAAGCAGGCCCAAACCATGATGCTGCCACCACCATGTTTGACAGTGGGGATGGTGTGTTCAGGGTGATGAGCTGTGTTGCTTTTACACCAAACATATCGTTTTGCATTGTGGCCAAAAAGTTCGATTTTGGTTTCATCTGACCAGAGCACCTTCTTCCACATGTTTGGTGTGTCTCCCAGGTGGCTTGTGGCAAACTTAAAACAAGACTTTTTATGGATATCTTTGAGAAATGGCTTTCTTCTTGCCACTCTTCCATAAAGGCCAGATTTGTGCAGTGCACGACTGATTGTTGTCCTATGGACAGACTCTCCCACCTCAGCTGTAGTGATCTGCAGTTCATCCAGAGTGATCATGGGCCTCTTGGCTGCATCTCTGATCAGTCTTCTCCTTGTTTGAGATGAAAGTTTGGAGGGACGGCCGGGTCTTGGTAGATTTTCAGTGGTCTGATACTCCTTCCATTTCAATATAATTGCTTGCACAGTGCTTCTTGAGATGTTTAAAGCTTGGGAAATCTTTTTGTATCCAAATCCGGCTTTAAACTTCTCCACAACAGTATCTCGGACCTGCCTGGTGTGTCCCTTTGTCTTCATGGTTCTCTCTGCGCTTTAAACAGAACCCTGACGGGGAATTTACACAGTAGGCGTAAACAGCGCGTACGCGTTTACTGCGCGCTCTCTGCGCGTAACATTATTTTGGAGTATCTACACAGGCCGTGCGCGCAGGTCCGCGTCTTCTGATGCTCTCCCTGTGTAGTCTATGGAGCAGTGTAGAGGACAGTACGAGCCAGAGGACTGATGTAGAGCAACACAAATCACATGCATGTGTTTGTCTCCATGGTCTCTGTGCGCTGGTTTGGCCAGACGTGAGACTTTATGAAAGAAAAAAAAAACGATGTCCAGAATCACTGTAAAACCTGCTGCTCCTCCTGCTGATGTTTAGGGTGTATTCAGACCTGCACATTTGCTCCACTTTAAACGGACCAGGATTCGTTTGGAACTCTGATCCGAATCTTTTATGCAGGTCTGAATACACACACACGAATCCTGATCCGGACCAAAGAACCGAACCGAGACCCACTTTTTGAGGTGGTCTCGGTCCGCTTCCAAACGAATTCTGGTCCAAGTCGAATAAGGTCTGAATACATCCGGTGTCGATCCGACACAACTCCAAGATACGTGCGCATTTTTTGGGCTTAACAAGCCGCAGACAGAAACTGTGAGGAATTAGCCACGCAGCGGCTAACTATGCTGCTAACTATGCTGCTAACTATGCTGCTAACTATGCTGCTAACGCTGCTAACAACACTGAGCCGTGTGCAGACTGGAGCAGTGAGGAGACGCTGTGCAACAGGCTTATGGAGTTAGAACTGTTCACAGTATACATTGATGTTAATGGCAGCATCTTCAAACCATTTGCATTATTAAAAGCCTGACACTGTTTGACTCACGTCTCAAAGAGCAATATTCCGCATCATGTAGTGAATTGTGTTCTTTGGTTCCTACCTGATCCTCAGCGTCTGTTTGTCCCGTGGTTATTATAGATCCATGGTTTATCCACATGCTGCTGTCAGTAAGTTGTGGAACAGGGTTATTATCATAGATCCATGTGTGGGACAGGGCACGGAGCGCACAGACAGAGTCTCCTTTGGCTTTCTCCTCACGCATTCTCCAACACTGTTCCAATATTTAAAACAACGTGTTTCGCCTGTGTCATATGAGCTGCCGCTGTTGATGTTGAAGGTGGTTTTGCTCTAAAAAGAGCAAACAGAGGCAGAGCAGACATGCTGCACATACGAGCCCTCCGTTTTCCTCCGGTTCCGCGTCTATCCTCCGTGAGCTCTCTCTGTCCAATAGGAGCGCCGATCATCACACGTGTCAATATGTTTATATAAAAAAGTTCACTTGCAAAAAGGACAGTCTGAATACGAACCGGAGCAAAAGAAAAAAGTTTGGTCTGCTTTTGATTCGGATCAAGCAAGCGGAGCAAAGGACTTTTCAGGTCTGAATACACCCACAAGTGCTGTGTGTGTGCAGATGTGATCTAGAGCCAAGGACCGCTAGAAAAATCATGTTTTACATGAGATTTCAATGGGAGACGCGTTGGTGCGCGCACAAAATTAGAAATCCATCCTAAATTAGAGCGCAGCTTCGCGTCATACGTCCGTCATACGCGCGTATAACGCTAGAAGTGTAAATATCATCATAGGTTAACATGGAAAAAAGTTACGCGCGTCTGCTGCGCGTATAACGCGTACGTGCTGTAACGCGTGATGTGTAAATTAGCAGTGAGACTATCAAAGAGCAGGTGCATTTATACGGAGACTTGATTACACACAGGTGCATTCTATTTATCATCAGTCATTTAGGACAACATTGAATCATTCAAAGATCCTCACTGAACTTCTGGACTGAGTTTGCTGCACTGAAAGTAAAGGGGCTGAATAATATTGCACGCCCCACTTTTCAGTTTTTTATTTGTTAAAAAAGTTTAAATTGTCCAATAAATTTTGTTCCACTTCACGATTGTGTCCCACTTGTTGTTGATTCATGACAAAAAATTACAATTTTATATCTTTATGTTTGAAGCCTGAAATGTGGCGAAATGTTGAAAGGTTCAAGGGGGCCGAATACTTTCGCAAGGCACTGTAATATTGACAGTTTGCTCACTGCTGAAATTCGTATTCTCAAAGAAGAAAATGCAAGCACAAAAAAAAAAAAAATGGCATTCACAAAAACAAAATCACACAGTTATATATTTTGTTATTCTTAATTACAAAATTCCATGTCCTTTTAGTTTGTATTATCTTAATCATGAATTAATAAAATATTTGTATGCACAAATACCAATAAATATGCACGCATTTTTTTTAGACATGCACGTCTTTATTGACAGTAACCTTACCCCATAAATCTCTTTCTTAAATTACTGTTGATTCATTTAATCAAAAGAACATACCTTTGGGTAAGCTAAAGAGTGAGTTAACTAAAAGAAAGGCAAAGCTTTTCCTACTAGTGACAATGACAGCCAGAAGCCAAAACAATATCGCAGTTCTACACTGGCAGGCACATCAACTGAAAACTGAAGCATGAAATTATGGATAATGGTTAACGAGCAGCTCCAGCCTCTAAACACTTTATCTCCACTTCAGCAGAACACAATTTGCATTCAGCATGAACATGTTTAAACAAAGTGTGTGAAGTTGACATGGTTTGATAAAAAAAGTGAATACATACTTTAAGTTTGGCCAAAGTGGGCCTCGGGCCCCCGATAAACTGCAGCTGTTGGTTGGTCTCCTCACACTCCAGCGGGCTGGACAGGCTGTGCTGCGCAGAGGCCTCTGATGGGCACGAAGGGCCGGTCCAAGACGTGGAAAAGGTTATCCCACAGGCTGTAGCTGCGAGCTGCACCCCAGGAACCTCCTGCACACGCCGGTACCAGAGCAGCAGGCGAGGCAGGCGGTCCAAAATGTGCTCAGCATGAGTTTTAAGAGAACACTATCAAAGGCAAAGCAAGGACAGAAAATTAGAAGACTAACTTACTTTAACTTTAAAGGACAACTCACCCTCAAATCCACTTTTTTTTGCTGATAAACGATTTAAATGAGTGTCCAATAGTGTTGTCTACATATCCTGGTCATAATTTGGTCACTTTGGTGCAAATTAGTTGAAAGTTAAACTTTCTGCCTAAAACCGTCTGTGAGGCGCCATCTGCTGGCGACCTGTATTACTACATTTGAATTTTGAATCTGGCGCCAACACTGCCACAGAAGTTGGACCTGACGTCTGCAAGTTGGACCTGACGTCAGCAGCCCCCCGCCCAGAGCAATGTAAACGGCCCAGTCTCGTTCACGCCCCCTTCAGTCCTCCAGGCTACGCCCATTTAGAGGAAGATTTGAACAGGAAATGTGAGTGACGTAAGCTCCGGGGAGCGGGGGTGAGAACCACTTTAATGAAGAAATTAAGGATCAGGTGAGTCAGCTCCTGAACAGAGTTCAGTTCTGTGGCAAGCATCAGAATCAAAACATTCTAGTGAGATTGAGGTACTAAACCAGGGCCACTTAAGTTGCCTAGGGTTGACAAAACCTTGTAAAACCTTTTTGACTGAGTCTGGGCAGTTCTGAGCTTTAAAATAACAACAACAAAAATCCTTATCTGAGAATTTCTAGTTTATGATTCTAATGGCTACTCTGGCTTAAGCAGAGGGCCGCGATTGACCCACGGGCCTGACCTTGCATATGCCTGGTTTACACAGAGAGCTAACAACTGGCAAACACTTGAGTCGTAGGACTGACAGGACTCAGGGGCCACGGCTTAAGTGGAGGGGTTGTCTCTGACTGCATCTGCCCTGGACAGAGATGGCCGTTCAGGAGACATGCTACACTGAGTGTGAAACTAGAAACCACCGAGGCACAACTGACGACTAAAAGCCTGTGAGAACTTTTTATTTTCATAATGCTGACCATTGGAAGCAGTGAAAGCTGAAACAACGTGACAAATGAATGAATCACTAAAAAGACATCCACTTGTATTAGAAACTGCAGTATGGGAGACGCTTTCAGACTATACAGGAGTTTTTGATAAGTTACAAAAGCAATCATTCTTCCAGAGAAAAGATTGTGAATCTGAATGGAATCCCTCCCCATGGCTGTTATCACCTTTTACCAGGTACACAGACCACCAGAGGAAGTGGGAGCTGTGCCAAGTGTATGCTGTGCAGCTCTTTAACTACATTCAGCCAGGATACATGAGGGACCAGCAGTGAGGCTAACCTTGACCTCACTCACACAATCAGAAACTGAACTTGTAAGATTCCAAATAGAATCTGGACACTATGAGTCAGCACTGAATCCATGCAATAGGGATAGGTTAACAATTATCGGTTTCCTCAATGGTCTGATTGTTTGTATCATTATAAATTGAACTTTGGAAATAAACTAATGAACTGAGAACAAAGTCAAATGTATCTGTTGAACTTGGTTTTCTTATCAGGAAAAAGGTTGACAACCTTTTTGTGTACCGTAATATAAGCTTGACAAAATATATCTAGCCGTGATCTTTATGATCACATAATGAACATTTTGGCAGGATGCTTACCAAATATTGATGGATGCAGGGTAGAAGGACCACATCAGTCAAAGTGAAGTACAACCCTTCAGCAAAGACATGCTCCAGAGGCGGCAGCTCCGTCGTTTTCACCCTCCTGATGTCAGAGCACTCCCTTGTGGCGAGACCAGGATCTGCATCCACTGACAACTTTGCAAGGGCAGCATCAAGCTCTAGTCTGTCATTAGATTGTGCAAGGTTAGTGTCCATTTCAACAATAGGTATTGTTGTTACTCCATTTTGTTTTTGTTGCTTGAGTTTCTGTCTTCTGATTTTGTCATCATTGTGAACTTTTACAGGTTCAGATAAATGTTGTTCAAGGCAGAGGATGGCGAGAGGGAGCAGAGATTCCACTTTGGAGGGACTTTGTAAATGTTCTTCAACAGAAGATGGGATGCCCAGTTCACAAAGACGTGTCCACTTACTAACCTGCAAATAAGTACACAAAATGATAGAATAAACTATGTAGTTTATCAAGTTCATTGATACAAGTATATTGGTATACTTGATACGCACGTGCTTTGTGTCAGTCTGTGAAAGGTATGTAAATAAAATATTGCTTGGTTATTTACTGACCTGGAGTCAGGACCCTAATCAGTGCTTAATCAAGCAATTTGAAAAAAAATATTACAATGTTGCTTATAGTGATGCATGAGATGTATTCCATCTGTTCTCTAATAAACAAACATGCAACAGGCTCAGTTGGTAGAGCATTGGTCTTGTGGTGGGCTCGAACCCACGACCTTAAGGCTCTAAGGGCTAATTCACGACTCCCACTGATGACTGCTGTCATTGTGTCCTTGGGTAAGACACATAACCCCACATTGCCTGAAGCCCCTGCTGAATAATCAAGGTTCCTGTGGACTCACCACCTGCAGGAGGATCAGGGAGGGGCTGGTGCTCTGTGTACTGGGTGCACTCTGACTGCCACCCCCCGACCCAGAAATGGATTAAGGGGAAGAAAATGGATGGATGGATGGACATGAGTGCCAGAATTCTATGTATTCAGATCACAGTACTCTGACTAGACTATATACAGAAGAGCATGGTTTTAAAAAGGCATTTAGTATTCATGAAGTATTTTCCCCAACAATGTCCATAACTGGATTGACAGATGTAATCATGTTATTCTAACGATATGATTAAATGCTCCATATATTTTATTTGTATTGCACATTTCATGCAAATGGTGGGACATTGCACCAGGAAGTACAATATCACATTAGTCCAGTGCTCTGGTCTCTAGACTGGTTTCGTGTGTCTCAGAGATTAGGATCTAAAAAAGCTCTTCTTGTGTACAAGTCTCTCCATGGCCTCACACCAAAGTGTGACATGTTAGTGCCATTTGAACCAACTCAGGACTGGCCTCCTGCTGATGCTCAGAGTCAGATGTATGCAGATAGAACAGTCTTCCTGAAAATGTGAGACAGGCATCTACTCTGACAGTTAAACAGTTCTGTTTAGCTGGGCATACAACTGAATGTATGCCCAGGGTAATGTATATTCACTCTTTTCAATGCCTTGTGTGATTGCATCTATCTTGTTTTGTGAAACACTTGTTTCCTTGTGTATATGACCTATGCTATACACATAAACTTGCTTGCTTTTATCAGCATAGTGAAAGTGTGAAATTACCTCAGCACAGGCTTTCAGACAAGTCTTTTTGAAGCCCAGTAAAGCAAGCACATCATTTCTCGTGGGGTTGTCCTCCAGCGTCCTGTTGATGATGTGTCGAAGCACTACAGCCAGCCCAGCTCTGCACAGCCTTCCACTCTCATCCAGGACACAGGGCAGCCGACAGCCCCTCACCAGTGGGGGTAGGCTCTCCCTACCAACCTGGGACACCTCCAAAGACTTGGGTAAGTGATCTATGGTCGGTGATGCACTTGACTTGGCAGGTGACACCAGGAAAACCTTAAAGGATTTGCACTCGCAGTAAGATAAGAGGAAGAGGACTACAGACGTGTGCAACGGGACACGATGCTCTCCAGACTCATGACAAACCTCCAGGTACAGAATAGCATGCTGGTCCTGAGACTTCATTTTCTAAAATTACAACTATTACTTACAACTGGTTCAGTTTACACAAGACAGATCCACGTTTAATTTGACCCACGTTGTTATTATCCTTGCAAAAACTTCCTGGGAGCCTCTTCTCCTCAACCAAATGCAACCATAGCCCCACAGTGCCATCTATCGACTGAAGTTGAATGAAATAAAATGAAATAAAAAAACTAAAAAAATGAACAAATAAGGAATAGACTTTGTTTTGTAACACAACTAAACGCAATGAATCATCACAATGTAGCATGAAAGGCATGTGGTTATACCAAATGTATATAACAGGAATAACAGTTATTCTACAGAGGACCATGGACCACTGTGCGCTCTTCACCTTCAGTACATTCCGGAAACATTTCATGGTTGCACAATCTTCACCGACAAGGAAAAGCCGTGGGCACTTGCCGCTTATTTTGTTAAGGGAAGAGTTTAAACGTGTATCTTGGTAAGGAATAAGATTGCCCTTTTACGGATTAATCTTTGAGGTGAGTCGTTATCAAAACGGTTCGTCTGAATTTGATAATTCCTTTTACGGGAGACGATTCCGCTGTCAGGACCGCTGAAGTTACCGGGATACCATTGTGTTAATGTATGGCTTTTGTGTGTGTTTGATAATTATTACTTATTTAAGAAAATGTAGGTTTCTAATAATAAATGGGTGTTATTATACTATTATAATCAATGCATAGTTCTATCAAAATACACAATTTCAAATGTATACAGTTTTAAACTGTAATTTTTTACATGTAGGTTAAGTCTTTATAATTAGTTTAAAATGCCTAAAGATAATTTCATATGGTCTAGTTTGTAATTTTATTTAGTACCTATACTTAATTAAGTATCTTTTGATTTTTAAATGTACTATCTATTTGTGATACCTTTATCATAAACATATTAATACAATCGTTATTGTTTAGCATTATAGATTTGAGAAATCACATTTTCAATAATCCTTCTGGGGTGAAAACGTTTGTTAAAATCATGTGTTGCTATGTCATTGTATTGTTTATTTTCATTGCAGCCTGAAGTAATGGCTGGACCAGTCAGTCTGGAATTGGACCCAATTTTCTTGAAAGGTCTGAGTTACCTTCACTCAAAAAGTAAAGACTCAACTGAGAAACTCAGAGCACTGCTAGATGATGCCTTTGCAAGAGGAAGTGACGCATCATACCGCACAACACATAAAGTAATTAAAACATAGTAAATACTCTATAGTATGTTTTATGGTTCACTTTTTAAAATATATTCTGTTCCCACTTTCAATGATTTCAAATCATGTCATTTTTTGTATTGTGTTTATACAGGACATGGAGATCTCCAAAGGGTCCATTTCAAAGCTCATCCTGAATAAACAGGATTCTAAGTCCTCATCCAGCTCTTCATCATCCAGCAGTAGCAGTGGAAACAGCAAATCAACTTCAGAAAAGATTAAAAAGGAGGTTGAGAAGAGGTCCTCTGAGAAGGTAATGTAACGCAAACTTGAGCATATTGTAATTCTCACTTGAATTTTGTGTATCTTTTTTCTTTTTTTTTTTATAGCTGAGAATTGACTTGTCAGATGTGGAGCCACCAAAAAAACCAAGACTTGAGAAACAGGAGAACCGTTCTTCACCTATCACTGTGCAAACCAGCAAGGACCTTGTGTCAAATATCAGTGACTATGATGAAACGAATGCAGATGATTTTGCCATGGAAATGGGGCTAGCCTGTGTTGTATGCAGGTAATGTTCTGCATCTTAAAAATCAAATTTTCCTAAAATGTCGATTATGGGTGTTTTTGTTTGTTTTCTTCAAGACAAATGACTGTGACTATGGGTAACCAGCTGGTGGAGTGCCAGGAATGCCACAATTTGTATCACCAGGACTGTCACAAGCCCCAAGTGACAGACAAAGAAGTGAACGACCCACGGCTTGTGTGGTACTGTGCCAGATGCACAAGACAGATGAAGCGAATGGTAAGTAGCCATATTCTGTAAGCATAAATGCTTAATCTTATCTGCTCTTGTGTTGTTACTTGTTTTATTCTAACTATTCTAGGCACAGAAACCTCCACAGAAGCCATCTCCAGTCTCTGCATCATCAGTACCTGTTGTGAAGGAGACTTTGGTTAAAAAGACAGAGCTCAAGTCCAAACCAGACACATCCAGCACTTTCCATGCAAGCACATTTCAAGCATTCAAAAGGACTGAGGTCAAGGTATGTTTTGTGAACATAACCATTAGGTAGAGAGAATGGTGTAACAAAGAGCTTATAGCTGGACGTTGGATTGAGAACAAACTTATACTTGTTCATGAGTATGTTCGGAGCAACTACTATACTGCGGCTCAGATCAATCAACTACGGTTTGCTCTTTATGCCGCTTTGAGACACTCTCAGCGTGCAGCCCTCTATAAACAATAAATTTAGCTCTGGTGAAGTTCATTAACCAACGTAACCACACTAGAAACAAAACTGAACAGTGGCGATGAGGCATTTGTGCACGTGACCTACTGATACATTTTAAATCGCTGCTTAGCTCAAACCTTGATTTATTTTGTGTCTTTTTTTTCTTTCACTTTTATGCAGGCCTCAACTACTTCAGCAAACCCCACCAGCAGCAGTGGCTCCTCCTCAGGCAGTGGGCTTACAGGCTGGGCTGCGTTCGGTGCCAAGACCAACTCTTCTCTCCCAACTAGCTCTAAACTGGGTTCTTCAAGCTCAAGCAGCAGCAAGACTCAAACCACTGCCCCCGGGCAGAAAACTGCTGGATTGTCTGGACTAGCAAGTGCGAAGTCAGGCCTTGGAGGAGCCAAGATCACCAGCAGCGGTAACGGAAACGGTTCGAGCCAGGTCCAGCTTAAACCCCCTCCTCCTCTGACTCTGGGTAAGCAACCAATAAACCGATCATCCAGTGGAGAGAGCCAGGGGAAAGCAAGCTCAGGAGCAGGATCTCCAGGAGCATCTCAGGCAGCTGCAGGTGGGAACGGGGGCAACGGAGGTGGAAATGGGAACAATGGAAATGGTTCAAAGGCAGCATCTGGAGCCACCTCCCAGGAATCCCAGCTCAGTGCCATGAAACGCCTCCAATTGGTAAAGAAGAAAGCGGCGCAGAAAAAAATTAAGAAATAAATATTAACTGTCAGAGTAAGCAATGTGGATTCAGTGCCGGAGATATGTGTGCGTAATTACTCATCATGTACCTGGAGAAGACCTCCTTATACTTGAATTTATGTTAAGTCCTGCCAGACTCTGTGTGCCTCTTTTTGTCCTAACTACTGCTAACCATGGGAAGTCAGTCCCTTTATATTACAGACACATTAAAAAAGGTAAACATATTTATGTCTTTTTTTTATTCGTAAAAACCTTTTAAATAAAATTACTTCATTTCACATTGAACATTGGAATTTAAATATAAATAACTTTCCATATAGATTTTACTTCATTCATAACATCACATTTAAATATTTTCTTTCCTTCAATAAATCTACATCAACACTGAAGTACAAAAGTGCTCTGTATAGTGCCCTTTTCTCACCACATTCTCAATTATAAACTGCAAACATGTAATTAATCATTAGCTGTCTTATTAATGAAACACTTTTGGTATATTTGACTTAGTTGGACCGTATGCAACTTCAATAAACACATATGTCTGCTTGTGAAGGCCAGAGAGCTGTGGGCTTCCAGGCTTCTACATCCTTCTCAAGCATAGGACATCTTTCCCAGGTAGTTGGCAGGAACATAGCCTTTCTGTCCGTTGGACTCAGCCAGCCACCACTCTTTGTTTCCACCCAGGTCACAGAACTGGAGGATCCGCACATGCTGGTACTCCTGAAGACTTAGTTCTTGGTCACAGCGGGCTTGAAACGCATATACAGCATAAAACTGGAAAGAGGGATGAAAATTATAAATTAAAACATTCTACAGAAGTAATGTGTTACATACTATTTGTTACTCCTCAAATAGTATGTGTTACATATTTTTCTACTCTACTTCCTCTGCCCTCTATTGTACTTTTTGATAGAGTATAATAATATGTATGTGTCAAATATAGTTACTTGTCAGAGAAGGAATATAATTGTATACTTTCCTCTCAAAAAAATCTATATACACTCGCAATCATTTGCTTACCTGTTGCGAGTCATCAATAATATCGTCCCCATCTACAGAGACCCCCTGGTCCTCCAAGCTGTCCGACTCCCCCAGTAGACCAGATAACATGGAGCTGCTGTCAGTGGTGTTAAGGTTGAAGCTGCGCAGACTGCTGCTGCCGCTGCCTGACACAAACAGGCTTATGTTATCAAAGTCCTCGTCCAACATGACCACTGGCTGTTGGGTTGACTGCTGATCCCAGGTTAGCTGTCCTGACCGCTGAGAGTCTCTCAGTGGGTTGTATGGTTTCAGAAAGGTGGAGTACATGTACCCCTGAGCATCTGAAGAATACAGAAGAGAGAATGGTGTGTAAGTAATTATTATGTGTCTATGTAGCGCATATCACAGACAATGGTCACTAAGCACAATAGTCTTTATAAAAAAAGGATATTCAAAACTAACATGTGGCCACTTCTGTAATTAGTTATTACAAACTATGACTAATGTAATGGCAGCATTGTGTGTGATTTTAACCAGATTATCCATTAAAAAAGGAAAGAAAATGATTTCAATATTTGTCTAAAATGAGGCCATGTGTATGATTAGAATAATCATCCATCTGTTACAAATGGAAAACAAAAACTTCCTGAGAATACCTATAATCCCAGAGGAACAGACAAATCTGTGAATAATCCACAGCGTACAAATTTTTTGTGTATGTATAACTCATAAAAGAAGTTGTTATTGCAGCATATGGGGCGTGCAGGCAGCGTCTCTGTCCTTGTTATGAATACCGAGGGGAGATGCTTTGTACTCCAAGCAACTGTTGGTTCCAAACAAGGTGTTGGGATCTCAGCTGCAGCAGAGATGTGGAGGAGATAGGAACGCTCTAGTGCGCGTCCTGTAGTGAGGCAACCATCTCCAGAGGAGGCAGCACATGACAGCCGCCTCTGGGAATGATGCTTTGCTGACTCTTGTAAAGTTTACAATGTTTATACACACTCTGAACAACAACACAATCAGCTGACTTCTGCAGCATAGTTTTAGAGTTGATAGCTTCATCAACCTTCGTGACACAGTGATACACAAGGGAAGGTATATTACTGGGTCAGCTCACTTTAAAATGATCCCAAATGGCTATTGTTCAATTCACCGTGATTAGTGGTATTTACATGAAACAAAAACTGGCACAACAGTGAATGTCATCTCAACAAAAATCAATCATGTTCTTGTTGCTACAATCAGTGGGAACTAGTGCATTTTGACAGACTTACCTCCTGAGTGAACAAGCCAACGACTGCTACTGCCAAAAGGGTCGGAGTCCTCAAGCAGAGCCACCAGCTCTCCTTCCAGCAGGCTGAGGTCCTGCTCTTGGCACCCATTACACTTTCTCTTCAGCTGGTAGATACGCTCCCGAGGGTACTCCGCCAAGAGCCAGGCCCGCTGCTCCTCGGTCTGATGTTGCACCTCAGGCATCTGACAAACACAGCACAATATCGATTAAGAATGTTGCATATGGACAGCAGCAAGGCATGAAGCCACATATACAAGTGGAACTCGGGGAAGTTCAAATCTATTCTCAAAATTCAACTGAAAATGGGTAACCAATATATGATACAAACTCATTATATACAAAGTGTTGCATGTCAAGCCTTTTATGTGTAATCATTTTGATGATGATGGCTTATAGGTCATTTTCAAAATATTCTAATTTTCTGAGATTGTTTTTTTTATAGCTGCGAGTCAATTATCAACTAATACGTAAAGTATTGATTTCTCCTTTAAATGTAATGTCATATATTAGTTACACATAATGTTTAGTTTAAGTTTTTTAGTTTTCCGGATTTCACCTGTACATCTAATCTGAGATAATTGTAAAATGTAAAGGGATTTTCCTGGTTGAATAAGGATAAATAAAAATAACTAAATTAAATATGCTCTATTTATCCTAAACTTGCAGACATATATAATCAATCATTTATTAATAACATTTTTTTTTTTTGTATTTATCATCATATAAAAGATATGATATTATGTATGAAATATTTATTTAACATAAATAAGAACTGACATATCTGTTATTTTAGTGGGAAAATCATTGACCTTAGACATTGCTCCCTTTGTCAATTGTATTATTTCACACTATTCCCTGAGTACTATTCAGAGGTAAACCTGTACGTGAACTTTATAATCATTCAACTGACTCTGGGACCTGGAAGATTCAGAAACATCCAAATTATAGATGACTTCATTACCGTAATCTTTCTGTCTCGTTGTCTTTCAAAGCTGACTTTACGTTCCATCAGTTTCTGTGTGTTATCCTTCACAAAAGACATGTTGCCCAGCTCCTCCATGATGCTGTTTTGAACTTCTGCCATATTGGATAAAGGAACCTGGATACATGTAAAAAAAAAAAAAAAATACAATCAATTTTTATTATTTACAGTCACTTTCACACATGAAATACTTGGGTCAATGTTCTTACCGGTAGTTGATTCAAAGATGGAGCTGGAAGTAAAAGCTTTGCCATAAGATGTCTCAACAAGGCCACTAAATGAAGCACGCAGTTGGTGAGGATGGTGTGTGCAGCCATATTGAACCTCTGCAGTTCCTCCACTAACATGGCATTGAGGGCCTCGTAGTCTCTCCTGGCAGGGCCCTGGTCGTCTGGAACTGTTGATGGCACGCTGGGTGAGGGGGACGCTGAAGAAGATGATGCTGTCTGGGAGGAAGAGCGTTCCAAGCGGCTGCAGTAGTCCAGCAGCTTGTCATACCTCTTCTGGATGAGCTTCTGTGGAGCTGTGAACATGCCCTGGAGAGAGGACAGTGGACCAAGCACCAGCTGCTCCACACTGTCTTTCTGCTCAGTCACAATGGAATGACAAGATATAAGTGTTAGTAAGTAATTTTTAGGATAGTTTGATTGTTGGCAAGGCAAGGAAAGTTTATTTGTATTGCACAATTCATACACAAGGCAATTCAAAGTGCTGAACAGAATAAAAAAAACTCACACAAAGCATTAAAATCCTAAATAATCACAGATAAAATCCCTCATATGCACAGCTAAACAGAACTGCGTTTAACTTGGATTTGAACAGTGTCAGAGAAGAAGCCTGTCTCACATCTTTAAGAAGACAGTTCCAGATTTTAGCTGCATGAATCTGAAAAGCATCCTGCCCATGTTTAGTTCTAACTCTGGGCTCTAGCCGGAGTCCCTTCCTCCTCAGAGTTTGGGTTGGTTCATGTGGGATTTACATGTCACTTATGTATTTTGGTGCGATGCTATGGAGAGACTAACAAGCAGAGCTGATTTATAGTCTATTCTCTGAGCCACAGGAAGCTAGTGGCGGCAGGTGGTAGAATGGATGGCACTCTCGCCTCTCAGCAAGAAGGTCCTGGGTTCGAATCCCGGTTGGACCAGGGCCTTTCTGAGTGGAGTTTGCATGTTCTCCCCGTGTCTGCGTAGGTTTCCTCCGGGTGCTCTGGTTTCCCCTTCCACTAAAAATATGTACAATACGTCTGGCATGCGCCTCCTGTACTGGCGACCCCGCTCCCATCTCTGCGTGGAGTGAGAGATTAATGCCCAAAAATAACAATTATAAACGGCTTTGAGACTCTGATCTGGAGTGAAAAGGCGGTATATAAATAAAGATTACTTACTAACTAGTGCAGAGACCTGAGAACTAGATTAATGTGGTAGTTGTATTCATATTATTTAATTTTTATACACTTTTTATTAGGTATTTTTTCCTCAGATTTGCTGCTTCTCGTAACCAAAATGTAGTTATCTTTTATAACAGGCATGCAAACATACTGAAAACAAATACAAAATGCAATCTTTGGTTAAACTTAGCCCATTTTTAGGCGCCAAAGTAGCTGGATTGCTAACACAGTAACATACATGCTCATTGGCCTACATTTTCCATAAAAAAAACATAACATATTTTTGTATATATTTTTAATTGATTTTTGAAGTTCTCATGCCTTGTAACGTTTCAAAGCGTCACATTTTGTTCGTTTACGTCAAATGTCTGGTAATAACCTGGCGTCTTAAGGGTTAATAGCGTCGGCATCTGGTTAGCATAAACAGCTAACAGCTAAAAAGAGCTTCCTAAATCATGCCAGACTGATTTGATGCAGTCTTGTCCAAACATTTTCTACAGATTGTTGTGTTCAAGTGTTAGAGTCAGGTAAGTGTCTCAATCACGTCTAACAATAATAATAATAATATTCTATCAGTTTTTTCCTTAGCCTAAACGACAGAGTTGGCCATTTTTCTAATAGTACTTTTTATCGTTAAACTTTTCTCTTTTGTTACATTTTTTTTCCTCATTTGATTTATATTACATCAGCACACAACTAAAACTGCATTTATTTTGCTTACACAGTGTACTTTGTGCATTGTTGTCTGCACTTTCATTGGTTTAAAATAACGTTGAATCAGGTGGACACAGTGTCCTTATGCGTTCAATACATTTTCTATTTTTGAAGGGAAATGGAAAATCGAAAAAAGGTTATTTTGCATTTTCAGGCACACAACATTATACAAAAATGACATTTTTTTTCATTGCTTAGAAGATATATATATATATAATAATAACCAGATTTGGGAACTAGAAAATGCAATAAATAACCTTTTTTTTTATTATGTATTTAATGGGAAACTGTAGGTATTCCATTTCCCTTCAAAAATAGAAAATGTATTGAACGCAAAAGTACACGGACCAGGAACAAACTAGATTCAGGTAAGAGAACCGCAGTGCTAAGATTAGGTTCATAGGCACACAATAGCATTATTGTTCTTGAAACAGGATAGTTTGGAAAGTGGCACACTGAAGGTCAAGATGTATTCACTGTAAATTAAAAAAATACTTACAAAGTGCTTGTATGGGTCATTTCCATTATGATGATAAAGGCCATTTTTGTCATTTTTGTTGAATTCTTTGATAATATTTTCCATGTCATGGGCATTTTGGACAGCCACAGATAGCATTTCCTTTAAACAAATATCAAACTTTTACTGGTCAAATTATGAGAGTAATATTGTAGTGAAAATCTCTACAAGTATTCATTTATACATGCAGAGATTTGGTACAAACCTGGGTTTCTTGCATGTAGCACTGAATGTTTTTGACCATCTGCCTGACTGCTTTCTCTAGGCTCCTGAAGAGCTTCTCTTCTCGGTCAAAAACTTCATCTCGCACCTACAAGACAGTTATATTGTTAAATGGACTGGAGATTAGATTTGTTTTTTATTTATGGTAGTATAAACACCCCCATCCCCTTCTTGTTTTTGTACCTGGGGCTCAACTCCTGTGAGAATCTTGAGAAATCCCGCAAATCTGTCCCCTTTCTTCCGTATAGAGTGGATGTTGAATTTGTGCAACTTTCCTCGCAATGTGCCTTCATCTTCCAGACGTTTATATTTCATCACTGGATGACGTGTAAATATTAACAGTATGAGAGTTGTTAACAGTAATATCTAATGATCAACAAGCATATTGCATATTGTAAGAAAACAGATTGAACTTTTATCCATAAATTCATATTATGGTTTTTAAATTCATTCTACATGTACAGTATTTCATCGCATTACTCATTTCAAGTTTTGACGGCTTTGGCTGCCCTGCCTCTGAAAGAGCAATGTAGAGTTCATTGCTCTGATTCCATATAGTTCGATTGACATGGTTTGGTAGTGAGGTAAATCGACAGTATTTACCTATGTCCTTACGTCTCTTGAATTCATTAATGTTAAGGTTAATTATTCTGGCAGCAGTGAAGGCCTCTTGCACCGGCTGGTGGTCTGGGTGGTTCTCTGGTGTGGTCTGCCATAGCTCTCCAAGGAGCAATGGGTACTTCATGATTCTTTGTACCGGCTTGATGAGTAGAGAGCCCATGTTTAACAAGTTGGGCTTACCTCTGTAGATGTGCACATCAGGTAAATCTTGTAACATCTTACATCAATACATTGAAAGTATTAATACTTACTCTTTTTCATAAATGCACCTGCAAGGACATTGAAAGAAACAATATTGTTATTGCGTAATAGTTTAGGGGCAACAAGTCCTTTTGAGAAAGCTTGAGCTTACTTCAGTGCTAATACACATGCAGTCAAATGTTTCTTTACGTCTTCCTCTTGCTCATAGGCTTTCAAGGACATGTTGGCATCATCATGATGGTAGCAGTATATTTTGTACACATCTTCTATAGCTGCCTTGGCCTGGATAAATACTTCGCCTAGAATATTAAAACAGTATTGTGACATACAAAAGACATTTGTTGAAATAGATATAGAGTGTTGTTACCAATGATGACTGCCTCTGGATCTGGGTCGGATATTGCTTCCTGCAGTCTTTGGTACAAAGCTGCAGATACTTCACACACTGTCTCCATGTTAGTGAAGAGACGATCTACATCTAAAACCTGCACAAACATACAGATATTCTCTGTAAAGAGCAGTGTATATATATATATAAATCAAAACTGCAGATGACATATGTATATATATATATATATATATATTGTCATCTACAGTTTTGGTTTCAAATTATTTGAGGTTGGTAGAAAATCTGTTTTTGGTGAAACCAAGAAGACTGACATTTGAAAGCTCAATTAGGTTCAGAAGTTGTATGTCTGAGCTAATAAAATGGTCAAAAGTTTGGATGTGGAGTAGTTTGGTTGGTAAAGTTGATGCAAATCTGCAACCCCTGCCTGGGAGGGTTAATATGAATCTGCAAAACTTTCTGTCCTCGATGTGCAACGCTTGTAGAGTCATACCCCAAAACTCTTGCTGCTGTGATATTTGCTAAAGGGTGGTATCACCTCATGTTACATGAATACCTAATCTTGGATCATTTGTTATTTTGTTGTTGTCTATGAAAGAAAAAACAAAATCCAAAATAAAATCTTTATTACTAGTACATTTTGCAAACCACCTTGTACCCTGACTGCATATTGCTATAGTTAATAGTGCATTGAATCCTGTTGACTTTTAATGGAGGTAAATGCTAAAAGGATGAGTCTGATGTCTACCTGCATGTTCCTCAGTGGCTGCACCACCTCCCTGATGCACAGCTCAAGGTCGGTCAGGAAGTCCTTCTCCGTCTGCACCAGCTCCTGGATGACTTTTGATCTTCGCTTCATCTTCCTCGCTCGCACCTCTTCAGGGTCAAGTGCTGGAGACGTGGGTGTGGATTGGTCCAAGGGGGTCAGCTTCCCTGTGTTACAAATGTAAGATTTGCCTTTTCTGTTTAATTTATTAAAACATGCAGGTGTTAAGCCAAGCATACCATTAGGATCGAATAGAATGATCTGGTTAGTTTAAATATCTATGCAGTGAAGTTGGTAAAATTATAGATTTATCCACACATTTTATTACAAAATAAAATTTACATCCCTCTCTTTAAAAAAAAAAAATCATAGTTTAGCATTATTTCTCATTACAAACCAAAAACTAATCCAGTTTATGTGGGTCAAGTGCCAAGGAAAGAACAGACAGTGTTGACGTCCCCCACAGCATTAATTTGGAGCCAAATAAAACTATTGGCAACTAAAGCCAATCAAGAGTGCCACTGGTCTGTCTTGCTTGCGCTACATGCAAGACAAAGTTAAATTTGAGGAAAGAAGGCACAAGGTTGATCATCCAATCCAATCCAATCCACTTTATTTATATAGCACATTTAAACAACAGTTACGTTTCCAAAGTGCTGCACAAAAAAGTATAAAATAAATAACAACTTATCCTTAGCTTCACCAAGTATAAAAGAATTAAAAAAATATATAAAACAGATTAAAACCATAAATAGAAATAAAATAAAAACACAGAGGACCACACAACTCACACAGTGTTAAAAGCCAAAGAGTAAAAGTGGGTCTTAAGATGAGACTTAAAACACTCTACTGTGGGGGCCGTCCGGACATGGAGGGGAAGAGCGTTCCAGAGCTTAGGGCCGACCACAGAGAAGGCTCTGTCCCCCCGGGTTTTAAGTCTCGCGTTAGGGACCACGAGCTGGAGCTGGCTCTCGGGCCTCAGGGCGCGCGCAGGAGTGTAAATTTGGATGAGGTCCGAGATGTAATCAGGGGCCTGTCCATGCAAAGATTTAAAAACAAACAGTAACATTTTAAAATCAATTCTAAAATGAACAGGGATCCAGAGCAAAGACGTGAGTACAGGGATGATGTGTTCGCGCTTTCTGGCCCCCGTTAAAAGTCGTGCTGCTGCGTTCTGGACCAACTGCAACCGGGAGAGGGTTTTCTGATTGACACCAGCATAAAGTGCGTTGCAGTAGTCCAGACGACTGGAAATAAAAGCATGCACAACCTGTTCTAACAAGTTAAAAGATAAGAATGGCTTCACTTTTGATAAAAGCCGAAGATGATAAAAACACTATTTTAAAACGCCATTAACTTGTTTGTCAAATTTAAAATCACTGTCTATAGTCATGCCAAGGCTGGTGACTTTGGAACGCACATAATTTCCTAGTGGTCCCAAGTCAGTAAGGGCCGGTCCAAATGTTAAAATTTCCGTTTTTCCCTCATTCATTACTAAACAATTCTGGGCTAACCAAGCCTTGACGTCACATAGACAGTTGAGCAGGGGCGTCAGGGGGGCATGGCCTCTCGAAATTGGCATATAAATTTGGCAGTCATCTGCATAAAAGTGATAGGACACTCCGTGTCTGTTAAAAATCTCCCCAAGTGGGAGGAGATAGAGTGCAAAAAGGATAGGTCCCAAGATAGATCCTTGAGGGACACCACAATAAAGTGAGGCAGAAGAAGATGTGGCATCCCCCAGCCTGACTGAGAAAGACCTCTCCGACAGGTAGGACCTGAACCACTCCAAAGCAGTCCCCCTGACGCCCACACAATCTCTCAGGCGGTCTAAAAGAATTGTGTGGTCAACAGTGTCAAAAGCAGCAGTAAGATCTAAAAGCACTAAAATGGTGGAGCCTCCAGAATCAGTCAATAAAAGCAAATCATTAAAAACCTTTAAAAGTGCAGATTCAGTACTGTGCAAAGCTTTATATCCAGACTGAAATGGGTCTAAAGTGCTTTTTTCATTTAAAAAAGGTTGCAGTTGTGCCAAAACACATTCCTCCAATATTTTTGAAACAAAGGGTAGTTTTGAAATGGGGCGATAATTTGATAAAACCATGGGATCAAGACCTGCTTTTTTTATCAAAGGCTCAACAACAGCGCTTTTACAAAAGGAAGGCACATTGCCAGTTAGCAAGCTGCTGTTGATGATGTCCCTCACAGAAGAGCCAGTAGTGCCCCAAACCTCTTTAAAAAAGCGAGGAGGGACTGGGTCCGTGGGACAGGACGAAGGTTTGAGTTTGCTCACCATCTCAGTCAACACAGACATGGACACTGACACAAACTGACTAAAAACGGCAGAACATCGAGTAGCCATGTTAAAACTCAATGATGAAGGAGTTAGATTGGCTCGAATAGAAGCAACCTTGTCATTAAAAAAGGAGACAAATCGTTCACACGTTTCATTAGTTATCTCCAGTGAAGTGGCTGGATTCGGATTAAAAACAGAACTAATAGTTTTAGGGGTCCATTTGTTAGGGGTCAAAAAAGATTAAACAGGATAAAAATGTTGTTGAATGCTAACCACATTTCCTTAAACCATAGTTCCTTGTGCTAGCCGGGGGAACTGTACATTATACATGCACAGTCCATGGTCAAGTTGATGTTATCAGTTGTTTGCTGTAGAACAGGAACCTCTTCAGAAACAGTTCTGATGAATGTATTTCCTATTATTCAATACTGAAAAATAAAAATAAACACTTTAACAGATACAGATGATGTTTCACTCCAGTATTATATCATCAAACTGGAGTGAAAAAAGGATATGTAACTGTTTATTAAGGATTTGTCCCAGAAAAGGCATTTTTAGATGTTGTTTTCCAATAAATCCTTCTATTGGAGTCGTAAATACATCATTAAAGTCCTAATTAGTGTTTTATTTGTTCCAATAGGAATTTACAACAACACCACTTTTTACTCCCTCATTGTGAGTAATGTAATCAAAATGACTAATACAACTATTATGATACAAAAAAGGTAACAGATTTTTTCTGGTTACAGGACTAAAAACCAGCTTGTTACCTGAAAAGCCATTATTATTTGTAAGTCGTGTTGCCACTCTGTCTAATCTTCAGAGCATGATTTACTTCCTGCTTTAGAGAGAAAGTGATGGAGGGAGGTGACGCAGCGCCGCAAGGCCTGTGTCAAGTTACAGAACTAATGGTGGAGGTGATGTAATGCTACACTGGGCTCAGGCATTCCATCTGTTGCTGCTGGGAGTGGACCAGGTTAGAGAACAGACAGGATGTGCACACTGTTCAAGTGCACGTCATCTATTCAGGAAAGTGATGAATGAATTCATGCGTTCATTGTTGTAAAAGTGCATTATAAAAGGGCCCAATTGTGTCTTGCCTATAGAATCTATTAATGATTATATTCACTTCACTATAACACTTTGAAAAAAGTTTACTCTTTGTATTTAGTAATTCATTTTTTACTTTAAACACTCACACAAGTCCTAAGAGCCACCTTGTAATGACATTTTTTTGATAAGGGTGCTCAAGAGTAAGGATTCAGGTTACAAAACACCACAAAACTCTCTATAAAGCACTTTTGATACATTAGGTCCTTGAGGTTTGTCTACAGGTTAGTTTTTCATCCTCATCTGAGTTATGGGATGTGTCAAATACTGTTGTTTGCACTTTAATATGATAATATTGAAGTTCAGGAAATGTTTCTGAAGCTAGTTATGCAAGTTAAATTTTAACCATTTTGTAAACAAACACTGGAGAAGAGTTTACAGGGCTCATTTGGTAACAACAAACTGCCTATTCTTCATAGTGAACTACAGATTCGACAGAGGCCAAATGCATGTGGAAACTAGTGATAGAACCAAGCTCTGTTTTGACCTGTTTGTTTCAGAGTTATAGTTAGCTTTAATCAATTCAATTCAACTGTATTTTTGTATAGCCCTAAATCATAACAGTAGTTATCTTGGACTTTACAAAACGGTCGATTCCCCAACACAGATAATCGGTTTGAACCCAGGAAATGCAATGAGAATAAAACACATGGGGCCATTGGTACATTGGGGCAGATGACCAATGTCCATAAATGTTGTTGAATGTAGAATGTCCTGGATCATCACCACTGTCCATAGACCCTCCTTTAATAAAAAATACTGCCAGCTCAGCAGATGAACTACATTATTGGGTGTGATTGGACAGCAGAAATATGAATAAGGATCAGTGTCACCCTTCAACAGTGTCAAGTGTCTATGTGGGTTTACAATGTGAATAGACCCTAGATTCTGTGACAGCCTCCACCCGTGAGAAAAACACCGGCATGGGGATACTAAGTTTGCATTTATTTTCTGAAAGGTCTTTATTTTTGTTTTCACTAAGTACTAATTGGTTATGTTCTCAAATTAGATCACAAGCTATCACAGTATCTTGATTCTTCAAATATATTTACTACAGTATATGGTACAGTATGGAACAGTGATGTAATCACTTCATGATAACTAATTGTTATATGACGTTCTCTTGAGGGTTGGGGGGGGGGGGGTGAGATGGGGGTGATATGGGGACCCAAATGATTTTCTTTGCAGGTGGAACCATTTCACATAAAACAACATGTCGTCTAGTATGGGAAATGTAGAGATGTAATTATTATGCTCTAGCATTTTTTTCCGTTTTTGTAACAATTGATTAACACATTGAATTTAGAGCAAACTTGTTATTTATCCCTATATTTAGTTGGCAGCACACATCTAGTTCCCATGAAAGTAGATCTACAGCTTTTCACTTTTCAACTAAAGGTTCCAACAGACTTCCCCCAAACACAATACAAGGCATAGTGTAGTGTCATGTATCACTAGTGAGGCAAAATGACACGCTGGACTGTTAGACAGCAAATATAGAGTCAGTGTAATTACTCAACACACATTTTAAATATAAAGGAGTAAAACATTTGTATAACTGAGATCTCACTATAGGTTCTTTAGATTTAACGATAAAATACAAATGAACATTATGGTGAGTAATCATGTGAGGTTGCTATGGAAGCGTGGATGGCTTGAACAACCTGTCTGACAGGCAGATGAGCTCTACAAAACACATCACATGCTTCCTCTTGGGACTGAAGTCATTGCTATGTCAATATTTGCAATGGTAATACCCCTGTAAATATGTAATAGTGTTTGTCGGGGCTGCAGTCAAACAGGGCGGGAAATTGGTTTACTCAAAACATCTCTCTGTTTTTGACAATTATGGTGAAGGTTGATGTGCTAAAGTGGTGAAAGGATTCTTGATACAAGTAAACAATGAGGTTCTGATAAAGGCCATTTATTTGAGAGATCCTATCAATGCTGGCTTTAGTTCAAGAAGTAACAGAACGTAATTATTTTATGTTATGCTGTGTCATTTTTTTACTATAAGAAAATACCAATGGAAAAGAGAAGCAAGTTACACAGGAAATTCTGCATACTTGTGTCTTGATTGCATTGTCCATTATTGATAAGTGTCATTTTGCCTGAAGAGTAGCATTCCTTGTAGCTGACTGCTTTCTATGGACAGGTGATTCCAGTTTCACACACTTAAGGGCAAATGTAGGATGACTGTCAGCAAATAAAAGTGAGGCAACTAGGAAGTCATAGAACATATATTTCACTGATATTGTGTGTTTTCATTTGAGGTTAATTTTCTGCAAAAAAATAAGCATTACATCTTGTACTATCTTCCCTGATGGCTGTCTTGTTTTCGAACTGGCCTGCACACTTACAGCCACTCCTGAGTCTGAGTTTGAAGCACAGTTTGCATATGTGGCTTTATCCCAGTGGGAGTATCTCCTCCTCAATGCATAGTAACACAACAGGTGCTTAGTTGAACTAGCTCTTTTGCCACCTAATGTGTATTAGTCCCATTATCAGAGACTGATTGGACATGCATACATTTTCACTTCACATTTCACACATTTTTGTTTGTAATGTAAATCATTGAATCCTTTGAGGCTGCCATAGTTTAATTCCGCAACTATGTCATTACCTTTAAGTTTTGCGCTGTATTCCGTCTTGTCTGATTGACTCCTCCTCACAAGTGTCCCCAGGTTGATGTCACTTTTGTCATCCGCTACAATAGTGTCTGTCTTTCTCCTCTCCAGATAACGCCATAATACCGGACGGTTCCTCCTTTTAATTGTTTTGTCTTTTTCTTTCTCTTTTTCACATCCAGAGGCCTCGTTCTCTTTGGGCTCCATGGTGAAGCCTCCTCTGCCCTGAACCAGTCAAGTCCAGTCAAAGGGGAGGACGAAGAGAGGACAGTACTGTGGGAACTACAACAGGTGCATGGTGCTAGTGTGTGTAGGTAGCTCCACCCACTGTCTCTACCTGACAGGGAGGTGGGGAGCTGCCTCCACACCGGGATATTCCATCCAGACTTATATTCTCTGAGAGAGACTAAACGGCAGAGGTATTAGCAAAGCCAGTACAAAACCCCAAGGCCTCCTTGTATCCAAGGGATTGATTTCATTCTTGTTATGGGTGGCAAAAAGTCACTTTCATTCGAAGTGAGAACTTGATTCTATTGGTAAATGTTGTTTGTGGCAATGTCCTGTGGTAGGACATGTATGGGAGTAGTCGCTCTATAGAGAGGACATGCTTTTTTGCCAACCAACACAAAACTATACCTTTTAAACAAGTGATTCATAATCTGTACCTTTTTTGGGATAATTTTCAGGTTAACTGCACATATTTTAGTATACATTTGAAAGTAATTAACATTTAAAAGCACAATGCTACATATTTTCAATCAAAAAAGTTGAAACCCGTGAATATGTTTCAAATTCAAGTGTGAAGGAAGATGTAAAGATGTTGAAAATGTATTTAGTTAAAAAAGAAGTTTCAGTAAGATTTGATTTTTTGTTTTTCAGTTTTCATTTGTCATGTTCAAACATTTAAAATATAATAAATATGACAATAAACCACTACATTAAATAGCTGGCTTACCAAAAATCAAAGCTTTCAGGCGACCAAGGAAAACACTAAAATGCTTTTAATAAACCACTCTTTATGACTTTGTCGATAGCCGTGCACATGTGTCATTTGTTTGAGTAGATAATAAACCTATACAATAGGGATAACACAGAGCTGAGTGTTTGTTTATGGCACAGTGGACAGAGGACTTTGATCTGACTTATGAGCTCTTGTATAGCTCCAACTTAACTGTATTAGTAATAGTGACAAAGTTTGTAAAGAACCTCCTGAGCACAGAGGTGGTTGTTGCTTTGTTTCATTCTGAGTACATGTAGTGCGTGTGCCACAACGAGAACGCAAAAGCCAGACAAATTTGACAAACTTTATTTTTAAACAAAAACAACAAACGCAACCCCCCCATGGAGCTTCTCCAATAAAATGCATACTAATGAGATAAGTCAGTGATAAAATAAAGGTTCTTCTGATCAGTTGTTGTGGTGGAGGGCCTGGTTCTGGACAGAGTTCCTCTGGACGATGTGACGTTTTATGTGGATAGTAAGTGTTGATTTGTGAGCAAATGTTTTGTCACAAATCGAACAACTGTAAGGTTTCTCTCCTGTGTGAACTCTTTCGTGACTATCTAAATTACTCTTTTGGGCAAATGTTTTGTCACAAAATGAACAGCTGTAAGGGCGATCTCCAGTGTGACGGCGCATATGTAAATTGAGAGATCCTAAGTGAGAAAACATTTTGTCACATAGAGTGCAGCTATAAGGTTTCTCTCCTGTGTGAACTCTTTCATGACGCTCCAAATTACATTTTTGAGTGAATGTTTTTTTACAAATTAAACAGATGAAAGGTCTCTCTCCAGTGTGTATTCTCATGTGTACGTTGAGATTCTTATGAATAGAAAATGTTTTTTTACAGGTCAAACAACTGTAAGGTTTCTCTCCTGTGTGAATTCTCATGTGTTCGTCGAGAGTCGTCTTTCTTGTAAATGGTTTTTTACAAACTGAACAATCGTAAGTTTTTCCAGTCTGAACTGGGAAAAGACACGCATTGTGTGCAGCTGTACTTGTATCTTGCACAGGCACTTGGTTGTAGTGGTCTCCATCAGCCTTTGTCTCCATCTGTGCAGTAGAGCTGCTGGCTGGTTGATCCCAGTCTTCATCATCTTCAGTTTCAGAAGAGTTGTCCCTTTGCTCTTCTGTCTCGGAGTAAATGTGCAAATGTCCATGTGTGTCCAAGCTCGTGTCTGCTGCTCCACAGTGCTGTTCCTCTGTTTCCTCTTCGTCCTCACTTAGTGTTTGTTGAAGCAGAGAGGACTGCTCTTCACTCTTAACACACACAGAAGTAAACCCTGGGGGCTGCTCTTCCTCCTGTTTAAGGCACTTTTCAGGCAGTGGACTTTCTGGGATTTCCTCCTTAAGTCTGGGCTCTGTGTCTGATCCATTGGGGCTAATCTGGAGCCCTTCTTTTCCGTGGAGCAGGGCTTTGGGCCTCATCAGTGACTCCAGTAGCTGCTGGTTCCTCACCTTCTCCTCTCTGGAGCGACACACTTCCTCCTCATACTCCACTATTAGCCTCTCCACCAGAACAAAGATATCCTCTGCCGCCGCTGCCAGCCTCTCATTCACCGCAGCTCGCAGCCAACCTCTCCTCTCACTCATGTTACAAACTCCACTTAGTTTAGTTCCACCAACAACAAACAGTTTTAGCTTTAGCGGATGAGCTAAGGCTGAAATGCCGCGTCTTACTTCCGCAGTCTGACTTCCGCAGTCTGACTTCCGGTCTCGCTCCAGGATCCGGACAAGTGACGAAGATGAGACTTCTCCTCTCACGCTGCTCGGTTAGCATTATCCGGAATTATTTTTGTTCCTTTCCCGTTTCTAGCCACAAACAGGTCACACAAGCAGCTGCCCACCACCAACTCTATTTACGACAAAACATGCATTATCTCACAGAAGAACGAGGGCGCCCCAATGCACCCGACTACCGGATTTATTTTAGTAAGTTACAATGACAAAATACAATTCTCTCGTGTCTGCATTTTTATGTCATGTGAATTTAAGCTTGGCAGTGTCGAGCTAGGTTAGCCACGTGACCTTGAATACAGCTGCTTGCATGCCATGGATCTATTTGCATGCACGCCTATTGTAAAAAGTAACAACTACACCTAGGTTTGCCAGCCCAAATCCAACGCTTCCTCTAAAGGCAAAGTTTCACATTCTGGTTCAACAAGTGCGTCCAAAGATGTATGTATTCAATATGTACATAAACAATTTTGACATAATTGCCTTATGTAATCTAACATAGTTTACACATGATTCTTCCAATTATTAAAAGGCATAGCTAACTGTGGGCTGAGATATATGCAAGATTAGGTGACTTTTGAATAGTTTGCATATATATCCAAACATTTGTGTTAGATATATACAACAGCTGAATCTTTGACAAATACAGCTCACTATAATTGTATAAAAATATGTAGTATAGTGTAGTGTGGATAAACATAACCTTTGTTAAACAGAAACTTCAGATGGAAGGTACATTTCTCCATTCCATGACATCCCACTTTCTCCAGAAAACAATTTGGTAATTTTTCATGCATAATTATAATACAATTACTTAAAGCTTTAAATATGTTTTATCTATTTCCTTCAAGGATGACGTACCAGCAAAGAGGACAAAGACGAATGACTCTGAGGTGGGCCAAATCTTCTGAATCCCTTGAAATCTGTCAATATAGTCCTCAGTTAACCTCTCTCTTTAGGTGCTTTATAACATGGTTGTGGAAGTACCTCGATGGTCTAATGCCAAGATGGAGGTAAAAAAAAAAAGTGCAAATGGCTTTTTTTGACTATATGTTAAATTTCATGTCTTCTTTATGTTTAAGGCTTAGAAAGTTCTTTTTCACACTGTTGTCTTATTAGAAGAACCTTTCAGTCTTAAGGCATTGTTGTAAATATAGTATGACTTAAAATATATCTATTATATATTTTTTCAGATTGCAACAAAAGAACCTCTAAATCCAATCAAACAGGATGTAAAAAAAGGAAAACTCCGATATGTGGCAAATATCTTTCCTCATAAAGGCTATATTTGGAACTATGGAGCTCTTCCACAGGTGGGTATTACATGTATGTATCTTTGTGTTAAGTGGACTTGTTATCTGCTGAGCTGGTCCCATAGGTTTTCTCCTGAGTTCATATCTTACCACCCAAGGGCTCAATGTCAAAACACCTTTAATTCCTGCTGCAATAAGATGATTTAATTCACAGAATAATTTTGTCCATGTTTGTATTGCAATTTCCGGCAAAGGAACAATGAAGTTTTTATCTTGTCTTCATAAGGGAAATCAAATTTATTCAAAACAGCTCTAGACCCACTAGTGCCCTGTCCTGTGTAAATGCTCCCTCACCCATGAAAGACAATGAGGTCTTGCATTGCCTTGGTGTGGTTGGTAGTCTTGCACACAGACCACACGAATGTAAGCAGTTTGATTTAAATGGTCTGATATACTTGTATACAATTTTTAATACAATTCTGATACTTTCCCCATCTTTTTTATATATCAAAGTTTTTATGTAATTTATATTTACTTTCTTCTGTATGCATCTGTTTACCTGCCTCATAGACCTGGGAGGACCCTAACCACATAGACACAAACACACAGTGTTGTGGTGATAATGACCCGATAGACGTTTGCGAAATAGGCTCTCTGGTGAGATTTAATTCTTGTTTGAAATGTTGTGGAAATTAATATTTTTAAAATGGAAATTTATGTTGTAGGTGTGCTATCCTGGTCAAGTTATCAGAGTGAAAGTGCTGGGTATCTTGGCCATGATAGATGAAGGAGAAACGGACTGGAAGGTCATTGCCATTAATGCTGAAGACCCAGATGCTCAAAACCTGAATTGTGAGTGAAATGTTGCCCAAATTATATAATCTCTTGAAAAATATTGACACAACGCTGTGCGGTGGTGCAGTGGTTAGCGCCTGTGTTTCACATCAAGATGATCCCTGGTTCAATTCCACCTTCAGGCACCTGGAGTTTGCCTGTTTTCTTGCTGTGTCTGTGTAGGTTTCCCTCGAGTTATCCAGATGTTCCTGCGTGAATGCAATGAGTGAGTGCATCAGTGGTGCTGGTCGTGGCCAGTGTGTTTGATGTCCCGCTTCTGCCATTATTGTGTGTAGAGTGAATGGGAATTACTGGTACACCTAAACTGTAAAGCGCTTTGTGTGACCTTGGTTTATAAAATGCCCTACATTAAAAAGATGACTTGCTTACATCATATAAAGGTGGTCTGGCTCTTGGACTATCAGGGACGTCCCATAACTTATATTACAAATTTATATTAATTAAGTTTATGTCAATTGCACTTTTCTTTTTTTTTGGGTTATTGTAGCCATAGAGGATGTACGCAAGAGCCGACCAGGTCACTTGGAAGCTACAATTGAATGGTTCAAGAAATACAAAGTTCCAGATGGGAAGCCTGAGAACAAGTTTGGATTTGGAGGCCAGTTTAAAGAAAAGGTAATACAAATATGATTGTAGAAGGGGGATATATTTTTTTTTTTTAATACTTCCTTTTCTAAATGTTTGTTTTTAATAGGAGTTTGCAGTTGATATTATTAGGTCCACCCATGAGCACTGGAGGGCACTAGTGCACAAGCAATCAGCTGCTGGGGACATTGACTGGTTTGTTACATACTTCACATAAGTCATTTTAACCTTTTTACTTTTACCATGTTCACCTTTTATTCATGTTTTAGCAAAAACGTGTCATGCTGTGATAGTCCTTTTAAATGCAGTGATGAGAAAGCAAATGCTGTGGTCCAGTCGGTAAAGAAACAGGATTCTCCAAAGATTATATACATTCACTAACTACACTAACATGACCGATTTCATTATTTGTGATCATAGGCCCCTGCTTTTGGTGTCGCTGTTCCAGTCTCCCCAGATGGTGAGTTTAATTTGTACATGGCTAGTCATTGAAAAAGGAAAAGTGAAATTATATATTGATTGTTAATATTCAAGTTTAGCACTTGGTAGCAAAGTAAGGTTTTAAGAGGTTTTAAGAATAGAATCATACAACTGAAGTAGCACTGCCAAAAGGTTTCAGTGTTGCAATTTCCCTTTTCTAACACAGGATGCAACATTTTTAATAGACAAGGAAATAGAACACTTTGTGTTTGTTATGCAATTTAAATTGACACTGACTCTTTCCTTGCAGTACACAAGTGGCATTTTGTCTAGAAGGCCGAGACCAAATGAAACCAACCAACTGTATCAAAATGAGTATCAGGTATTCGTCAAAAAGCGCTATATATGGTTGTTTGGAAGAGGCAAAATATTACCAGTATTTTTATTGCTCTCATCACCTATCATATTGAAAAGCAAAATGTTTCGTGGTGTTGAACAGCAAATTTTATGTTCACACAATTCTGTACTTTGTTTTACCTGCCTGAATTTGTGCTTTTATAATTATTTTGGGGAAAATAATAATAAAAAAAAGTTTACAATTGTTGTCATTTAATGTAGAGATTTTTAGGGAGTAAAGAGTCGTACATGGTTTCAAATAAATATACATTTTATTTAAAAAAAAACACCCACATCTCGGCAATATCAGGAATGATATAATAAACAGCTTTCAAATAAACTGCATTCAGTACATTACAATACTTACAGTATGTATATACCCATCTTAAATGTCATTTTTGTAGCATACCAATCATCGGGAGCAAACAAAGACCAAAATGTTGAGGCATGATGTTGCTCTTTTAGTGTCTTAACTGCACAAAGCCTGTATCAATTGTATTAACCTTAGCCTTAAAACTCATTCAAGTAATGCTGAATCACTCAGAATCACTCTGAAGCATTTTCAAGTATGGCTTTATACCCGCTCTGACTCTTCAATCCCATCTTGCTACTGTTGCTGGGTCCTGTACAATATCATTCAACATTACTACAATGTAGATTAAAAGAACAACACAACTGGATTATTCAAGAAAAATGTGAAACCACTAGGTTGTCAGGGTGCTAAACCGTAAACATTGTTATTTACATAAACCTTCAGGAAATATGGGATCATGATGGTGCTTGCTTATGATGGTAGTGGGTTAATATCTTAACTGACAAACCCCTACTTTATCAACAAAAGTTTTTCTACAATACAAATTTGTATTTACATTGTGACATAATTTATTTTATTTAACATTTACAATGTGTTTAAATACAGGTTGAAGTCATTCATTAATACATATTTAGTTTCAAAATTATACAAATGAAGTGCTATATGTGAAACAAATTGAAAAAAGTGATACTATTAAACATTGGCTATACATCACTCACATGATTAACCCAATTAAAAGGAGGGACAAAGCACATTTAGTGGTCATACATTAATTTGGTTAAAAATATCAATATATGGAATTGCTACTTAGTCTTTCTTTATAGTTTCCCTTTGTAGGCTCTGCATCACTTTTTTAATTTAAGAATTGTCAAATATTTTTTCAAAAAAATTGCATTTTTAAATTCCTTATTTGGGATACGATGTGAGTCCCTGAATTAATAAAAAATGATACAGGCTTTATGACAATGGCCACACAATTACAATTAAATGTCCCTGATTGAATATTTTCTTCTCGAGTGCTTTCTATTTCTTATTAAAAAAGATACTTGTTTTGCACCTAAGGTCAACTAGAGGAAAACCAAAACAAAAAGCAACAGGTAGAAATCCTCCTATTGCCAAACTAGTTATGAGGTATTTGAAACATTTGTACTATACATTATTTAAAAGCCTCCTCAGTGGCTATGTGTGTCCTATATCATAAGTAGCACCTTACAGCATAAAACCCCCAAAATCAATAAAAAGGCCATTGTTAATAACAAAACTAACCACATTTATAAAAAAAAAGTAAAATTAATTTACTGTACAATTCTTACACTTTACAATACAATATATATTCCCAACAGCCCACCAGCTGCCCTCTGAATGACAACACTGAGCTTACCCTGTTTATGTTACTCAGCACTAAGCACCACAGACTGAAAACTACATGTAATATTCACGATACAGGTTTGTCGATAATCCTGTCCAAACATGTAAAACATTTCATTAAAAAAATCCTAGAAATAAAAAAATAAAAATGCACCATTATTCCGGCTCAATTTACAGTATAAATGTAGGAAAGTGTTGCATGAACCTGCACATACAATTAATACCAAAATGACCATACATGTTTTAAAAAGTGCTTTGATAAACACTGAATTAAATAATTTTCATGCTCATCATTTCAGACGAGTGATGGCATTATCAGTGTTGACAAGTTGAGTACTGTAACCATAGTGTGAAGGCATGATAGGTCAAATAAACAGCATGCATTTAGCACCAAGAGCATTACAAAATCAGTGTTGTTTTGTAAAGATTTTTAAATTCCAAAAATAAAGCCAAAAGCAAACGTTTTTCCAGTAGAAGATAGTAGGTTTTATGCAACCTATTATACCTGATCAAAAGCACCAAAAAGGATATAATCTTGCAAATGTTTAAGAAGAATAAATACATTCTCTTCAGTTTGTGATGTAGTCCCTCAATTGCAGGAGAGTCATCTAAACAATGCTTTTGAAAATGAGAAATTCCAGCTCACATCCAAGAGTCCTTTTCATTTCTGAAGACTGAAAAGCACTTATTGAGGGTCAAAACATCTTCACTTGTAAAATGCTGTGCTAATGACTTCCTTGAAATATTCTCTACCTTCCTTATCCGTCCATAAAGCTTAGTATAGAACAACATAAAAGGGCAATATTGCTCTCCAATGCAGCACCCAGATGCTAGAGGCATTGACGTATGCTAGCAGTTGGTATATGTAAGAACCTATGCTTACATAAACTGTCTGTAGGGTCCAGTAACCTTTGTGAAGGCATAAGGAGATGTACTGACATATGTATTGGTTGTTGTGGATACAGATCCTTCAAGCAGTGATTGAATGAAACGCTTATAAGGGGGTTCTCCAGGTTCAGTTGCCTCTGAATGCTCACGTTTTGCTCCCTTTTTGCTGCTTTTTGTTGGTGTCACTTCACCACCATTACGCTCAGCTTCTTCTTCTTTTTCCCGAGCTTTTTCTGCCATTTTAGCTTCCCATAGAGCCAAGCCATGCTTCGCCTCATTCAGGTTTTTATGCTGGTAGAACACTAAAGAGATGCGTGTTGGATGATTTCGGTCTGGGTTCTTAAGGGGTGTAGTGGCATGAAGCTCACGTTTAGCACACTCAATTAGTACTGAACCATGGCTAGGTGCAACTGCCACCCCTCCAATATCAGGATCAAGGAAGTTGTGTTCATTGTCTGACCATACTTCGGGTTTTTGAGGTGTCGTAGGTGTCTGCGGCAATCCAGCCTCTTGTTTGATTCCTGCTGCCAAAGCATTTGCATTGTGTACAGCTAATGATGGCGATGGCATTTGGCAGTCTGCATTTACCTGGCTAGGAAACATATGTGAACTTGACATCTCTGTTTTGACATGACTTAGCAATGGATCTTGACCTGATGGTATCATTTGAGGGTTAGGCGTGAGGTATGGACTTGCGTAACCATGAAATTGATTGGCTAGACCATCATGGGCTGAGGGTGCTCTTGGGTGAGGGTCCATGTAGTGAGCATTGGTTCCATTAGGACCATATGGAGGATAAGGGGATCTCATTGGATGAACAGGTCCCATGCCACAAGGGTTGTACCCATTGACCTGTAAACCTGGCTCTCCATATCTTGGTGGATAGTTGTAGTGCTGAGGTACTGCATATTGCGGAGGAACCCCATATTGCTGCTCCAAAGGTGACGGTCTTTGTTGATACATATCTAAATGTTTTGGGTTCGAACCATAGTATGGAGGGTAGCCACCAGGAATGCTACTTTTGTGTTGATAACCCGGGTATGGATTACTTGACCCGTTCATGTAAGAGCTTTGTAAATGGTGCGGGGAGGGGTAAGAGCTTGCTGATGTTGGCTGAGGAGGATACATGTTGCCATGTTTGGAAGTGCTTTGAAAGGGTTCTGGGTGATTAGGGTATCTCTGAAAGTTGTTTGGATTTGCAGTGCCAGGAAAAGGAGGAATGGCCTTTGAGGGCTGGTGCTGTGGGTGATGTTGCTGGTAATGAGTATTTCCAGGATTGTGGTGTGGCAGACCTGAATCCATACATGCTCCCATTACTCCTGGTACATTCCCTAGATGACAGATAAACAAAAATTAACCCTTGCAAAAACATACAATGATATCACAGCAAAAATTATGTCAAAAGTCATACCTCCTTTTAAAGCAGTGTTCTCATTATGTTCATTTTTTGTTTTGACATGAAGGGCTTTCTCAGCTTTTTCGCTTTCGAGTAGAGCATTCTTCTGAGCAGCTGCTTTTTTGGCTTCCAGCTTTTTTTGTCGGCAGGACTTAGCCGGTTCTGCCAGCATGCGCACCTGCCGACGGAAAGCATGGAGGATCTGGATAGCTCCAGTCTTGACCTTTTCCTGCTGACCTTCCTCACTGCCAAATTCATCCGTTCTGGAAGCCTTGTAAAGAGGCAAGACATGGAGCTGCTCGTCTTCTGGGATTTTTCCAATGTCACGGTTATCCTCCCTGGTTAGTGTGCATACCTAACAAAGCAAGAGTTGGACATACATCAGTCATCAGTAAATATTGAAATATTAAATATTTTCTTTGAAGAAGAAGAAACACTCACCACAGTGCTGCCACCCTGCATATTGTGGAGGTCTCGGTGAGCATGAGCACAAAAATCCATACAAGCTGTGACTCCAGAGAAGGGTCGTCCTGCTTTGAGTCCAAGTCGACAATCTGTTGCTCTGTGTTCATGTTCAACCTGTTCACGGATACATGATTTTTCTTCAAAAAAAATATATATAGTTTCTTTTTTTGACGAAACTAAGCATTTGAACTAAACTGCTTGTATCAGTAATTAGTACACAACCAATTTTAAAGTTGTTGATATTTATAAGAATTGATTGTCTTACCTGGTTACTGTATGCTTCTGGTGCCATAGTTTTATACAATGGACCTAGTAATGTTGCCAGATTTTGAAAGTTATTTTCCAGCCTTTCTTCCTGTAAGAAATGTTGAAATCTTACTAAAAACAACCTTGTGTATGTTTATTTACATTCTTATAGTAGTCTGTAATACCTCTCTCACGTCATCCCCAAGTAATTTAAATTTTCTCGGGATCTTGCTCCGAGCAAATTTGCAGCCATTGTAGTACATGCTCCAGGAACAGCCAAATGAGAAAGAGGCTCCACTAAACTCAGGGTCAAAACCTTGACATGCACAAGTTCTCCTGAAATTAAATGTTAGAGTATTATATATCAATACACTTTGCTGATAATAATTAACTGCTTCTACTTACTCTTCGTTTAGAGCACAGCGTCTTTGTGTGTGAGCACCATATTTGGTCAGTGTTTGACTTAATTCATTGTAGAGAGAATCTGCAAGACTTCGTGTTATACCTTCCCATACTAGCAGTGCTACAATAATGCAGGATGATTCACAGCGATGGCCATTTCGCTCACGCACTAAAACTAATAATTTCTCTTCATCACTGGATCTTCGGATCACCTGTCAATAAATATTGCAGTTAGTATTCTTCTTCTCAGTTTGAATTGCATACATTACAACTCACCCATTTAGCAATTGGACAACCCTGTGTACTTTTTCCTTCTTTGCCAGTATAGATCACCTTTTCAATTCTTATTGCTCTCCCTGTTAGACCAGACCTTCCAAGTAGAAAATGAAAATGGTATGAATACTGATTAGTTAGGGTCAGCGTCACAGTAGTGAGTTACCTTTTCTCCATCAGTTGTCTGATTCCTTGTACACTGGGAGCAGAACCCAAGTGAGTGTAGTATGGACCTTCATCCTTTTCACTGATTTGTTCTAAATACCAAAAACAAATGGCAATCAGACTGAATATTATTTGAGGATGCAATTCAGTTGCATGTAGTTAGTTGAAAGTATATTTCACACTAATAAGTAATAAAAAGAGGTGAAATTACTCACCAACACAGTGGCAGGACGCAATGTCATATTGCGTTTTGAGGGGTGTGTCAAGTAAATTTTTTATGGGAGTATCAAGCAGCTTCATGGGTGAATCCATGAAACATTGTAAAAGATTTTCTTTTTTGGGAGTGGAATCCAGAGGTTTTTTTAAATGTAGTGCTGGTGAGTTTGACATCACTGTTTCCTCTTTTATTAGATCTGTATTAGTTGATAAGATTGTGACTGGTCCTGAAGATTCAACCTTGACTTTATTTGAATTGATGACAATGGGCTTTTTTTCAAACACTGGTGAGAGCTGGTACTGTTTTAGACTTTGCTCCATGGAGGCTAGGATACTTCCCTGTCTCTTGCTTTGGTCACACAAGAATTCTTGGGGCTCCTGTTTGACTTGAGCCTCTCTTACTGGCATCTGATGCTGGCTGTAGCCTGGAAAATCAAATTGATCAGGATGCTCTTCCTTTATGGTTTTAATACCATATTTCAAATCAACAGGGCTTTGAGGAAGGTGAGGAGGACCATGACGCTCTTGTTTTTGTAATAGATGCATTCGCAGTGCTGCATGCTTTTGAAAATCTCCAGGAGAAAGTTGCTGAGAACTTTTTGTCTGCATAGGTGCAGTTGGAAGGGAGTTGTCAACGTGGTTAGTTGTTTGGATAGTGGATTGCTGTTGTGGAAGTTGTTTGAGGTCCAAGTTTGGAGAATACAGCTGTTGCCGAAATTGCTCATCAACATTATTGAGATTGTTGTGGAAGGCTAGAGGTTGGTGGCCTGGTTGTGGCTGACTATGAGGCCTGTAGATGGGAGATTTAAGCTGCTGTTCATCACACTGTGGAGGTTGTGATAGTGGCCTCTGAGGATGCATGTGTTGCTGTTCCCTTGAGTGCTGTGAGGACTGTGTGTTGCCCTGGTAGGTCCTCTCTCTTGTTTGAAAGTTCTGATCCAGGAGAGGTGTTTTCGATTGGGACCGGTGCCAATCACTGCTGGCATTTTTTTGTTGGATCGAAGTACAGTGTACTTGTGCTAGTAAAGAGTCCTGGTTTTGTGACCTGATGTTTAACCCTTGACTGCTGTCCATAAACGCCCCATGAGTTTCCAATCTTTGTATGGGTTTCTGAACTTGTGGACTGGATGTCCTCTGCTGAGACTCAGTGTTGCGATTTCTACACAAACTATTTTCCTGTGATTGGGCAGGGATAGAATTTGTGTACTGTTGCTGCAAAGGCTTATCTGTCCATTTATGTGGTTGAGAATTAAACATACTTGTTTGCAGAGATGTGATTTCACCTCCATTACCTAATCTAGCATGTATTGGGGCCAGCCGTGCCATACCATCAGTTGCACTGATACCAATATTTTGTTGATATCTTTGTGGTTCAGCTCCATATAGTAAAGCCCCATGATCGACCTTTTCATAATATTTTTCTGGACCATTTGAATGTTGGTGGAAAACATTTGCAGTGTTTGTATCAAGACCTAACTGGCCTTGAGGGTAACCTGGAGGTCGTCTTTGTGACTGCTGGTGTTGATCTTCATAACTATTGGAGAAACCATTCATATCATATCCAACAGGCATTTGGGATAATGCATGCAATCCTGAGTTCAAATGTCTTTGAGGGCCTGCACTTGGGGGTCGATTTACATTTGTACCATTGATGGAATTTATTTCTGGTTTATTTGTTTGAGGTGCAATTGATACCTGCTCAGGAAAATACTGAGACAATGTTTTTTCCAAAAGATCTCCTGGAGTTCCTTCTATGGTAGACGGGGATGATGCAGCACCATTTGAAATCATTTGCTTATTTTTTAAATGACCAAATACATCTCCATTGGATAAGTTACAGTTTATCTTTTCCACATTCATTGGGTTCTGTGGGACATTGCACTGAAAGTCTGTTGCTTTAGTGAAGTCTGAAAAGCCATCAGGTAAATTGGAAGGATCTACTTTGAGTTTTTTTGAGTGGTGAACCAGAAATGACTGGTCTGACGGCACATGCTTCATTTGCCCATTTCTTATCTCTCCATTAATTTGGTGGGATGCTGGATCCAAAAATTCTTCCACTGTAGCAGGAATGGAGCTTTCACGGTGCCTCTTCATTAAGTTTGTGACTGGGCTAGAATTGAAATGGCTCCAGTTTGTATCGTTGCTTGTATGCAGAGAATGGCCCTCTGAAGAAGGGCATCCATTCTGGAGTTTCTGGGGGTTGTTCGAAGAGATGACATATCTCAGAGTTTCTTCATGTCTGGCCTGTTCTGTTTCCATCTGGGCTGCTTACAGTCCATCCACGGGCCAGCCCTGGGTCCGCCCTGCACAAGAGAACAAACTTTGGATTAATTATGTGGACATCACACATCTTAAATTATATATTAAGGTAGGCTGTATTGATGTGATGTCACAACATTCCAAAGAGCCTATAGTTTACAAATGTGTTGAAGCGTGATTCGTCATAGATACAAGATACAAGAATTTATTTGCCATTTTCTGTAAAACCACGTAGGAAATACTGTGCAAGACTACCTCAGAGTGTACCAGAGCTCTTGCCACGGCGCCATGTGACAAAATTCAGACATAAGAAAAATAAATGGCAGGTTTCTGAATATGCATCGAATAAATTACTCTGAGATAAAATTTCTTTCGCACTTTGCTTCATACCCAAAGAGTTTTATTGGAACCTACCCTCCAGCTGAAATAGAATACTAGAACATGAGAGCATCTGCCATAAATAATGATCAGATATCATCATCATAATCAAACTTTATTACAGACTTGTGGTCCAGGATAAGACACATTTAATAGATAGAACCAATAATTACCTATGAGTCAATCATTTAAAGCTCAAATTGGATTGCATTATGTAAAATTATGAAAACATATTTGTCAATTGTTTGCACATTGCTTATACTTGCTTCATTATCATGCTAAAGTAAGAGATTTATTTATTTTTTCTAAGTATTGAGTTATTGTTCTCATACTCTCATTCAAACTGTTCTGTAACTTGTAATGCAACACAGAAATGCCCTCACTGTGGGACAAATAGAGGATCTCAGAATCTTAAAAATAGTTTTCTGTGGTACATTTGCGGTGCATATTCTGTGGTTTTAATGGGTGCAGTTTTGATGTGTTAAACAGATGTGAGACTTTATGCCGGCTGTTTTACTTGCTCACACACACAGAGACAAGGTTGATAGAAAGCGTTTGTATGTCTGAGTATGAAATGATCTTCATTTCAAATGCAGACATTGCAGATATGTTTTGTTGTCCACACTAATTCTTCTTTCAGCAGTTTAAGTAAGTAATCAATCTTTATTTATATAGCGCCTTTCACAGACTCAAAGCGCTTTACCAACGTTTTTTTTTGTTCAGATGGGCGAGTCATGGCAACGGGGCAAGACAGATGTTGATCTCACACCTTGCCACAAACATAACACGTATCACCATTGCTTAATGATGTCAGTTAACAAATAAATGTTGAGTCCTACAATATTATTATGGCTCACAATAGCTTATTTCACTCAATATGTGCTAAATCTAAAACAGTTGAAATTATCAGTACTATTTCATGCATTTGTTGATTCAATTGCAATACAAAGCTGGAAAAGGAATGGAATGCGAGTCACTGTTTTTGAAGAGTGGTGATTTTGTTTTGTCTGTTTTTGCAAAACAATTGAATTACAAATTGTGCATTATTATTGAGCAACTATTTGCTCTAAATCTGAACATCAAAGCTTAACTTGTGCTGCTATACCCTCAAATGAAAGCCAATACGCCTATTACTATACTACTGCCATACTCTTGGCCTGGAAAGGCAATAAGTTCCTGGGCAGTATCACCCCAAACCATAAACTACTGAATCTTATTACAGTGTATCTAAACTGATGAAGTATTGCACAAGAGACTTTGAATTAACAATGAAACATTATTTAGACTAAGGATCAATAGAAGCTAAGCGAAATACTTTGGTCCTATGGTTATATCCATGTTTGTGCCTCAGACTCCTGCCGTGGTTTAGAGCCTCGCTCTCTCTGGTCAGCCTCTGCTGTCATCACACCACTGAGCATCCAGCTGCCAGGAGCAGGTGAAACAGCAGCGTCACAAGGACAAAAAGACACAGATTAGTGAAGTGCACAGTGAGACTAGCTCTTTTCATAGTTTGAACTGGGTTTCTGAATAGTGAAGTTCAAATAAGACCAATTGCTGACATCATGTAGCTAGAAAACACTTGCAATCATTATCATAATTTGTCAAACTGCAAGTAATGGCACATTTCCGTCATTGACTAATGACTGGAATAAGGTATTTGTGAGAAAAGATAAAAGATACTTTGTGATAATTTGTGTGTTATTATTATTTCTGTATTTATACAGTGAATCTAGTATTTATACTAGTTGTACTAACTCTAGATGTTAGTACAACATAACATTCAAATATAACTTACAAAATTATACTTTTTAAACATAGAGAAAAGCAAAAATTGCATTGTAATTACAATGTTGATCAGAAAGAAGTACCATTGGATATGTGGTCCTAATGGAGAATCGCCATATTTGAAAATATGTGATAGTTTGGGCTATAGAATGAATTTCTGACCACAGAGGTAAGATAAGACAAGATGTAGTGATATTGGAAAAGTCCAATAATTTCAGAATTATGAGTTGTGAACAGCAAATTTATAATTTTGTAAAACATGTGCTTTATGGGTTGTTTAAGCATGCATGATATCTCTGCAAGGTTATATTCTCAAAACATATAATTTGAATGTATTAATATTTATGAATAAAATTGCAGTAAGAATAATATATTTATAGGCTAGTATGTCTACTCTTTCGTTATGTCTATCCATCAGCCTGTGAATCTGTTACAACAATGTTGGGGGAGAACAGGGGGTATGAAGCGTTTGAGTCTACCGCGGCTCCCTTCCACATCAGACACTCCGGGTTTTACTTCACACAGACTAAAGCTGCTTGTCACAGTTGAATACACCCACACTGCCAACAAAAATCTTTCCTGAACCAGAACAAAGCCAGGGATCCCAGCTGAGTCCGTGCCTGCTACTCGCACAACTCTATAAACATGTGCCGGTAACGTCCAAGCTGGTCATGACATATTACCTTTTCTTTGTTGCCCACAGGAAGGGTTTTTTTTTACTCCGGAAGTAGAGCGCTAAACAAAAGCAGAGGCCGTGTCTGAGTGCCTTAAGTATGTGCATGTGCTCTGAACTCTTTGATCTGTTATAGATCAACATGGCTCCTTTTAGACATTTTAATAAACTTTGGGTTAATCTTCCTGTAATAATGCTGCATGTTCTAACGTCTGCCATTCATACACTTCTTCCCAAACTGGATCTGATAAATGCTGGTTTTGTAGAACTATTTTCTGGTCCTGTCTGTAGTTGCTCTACAAGGCATAGTTATCTTTGGGAAACTCAAATATTTTTGTGAATGTTCTTGAAACATCGATCTTATTAAAGTAAGAATTCTTGGGTTTCAGCTTCCTGTTATAGTTATCTATAGTATCAGGTCTCATTTATCAATTTATGATCAACTATAAGTTGTATTACATTATTTTTTGTTTAGCCATAAATCATCAGTGGTATCAGAGGACTATACAAAATTCACAATTTACAACAAATTAGAAAGTAAAACATTTAGAACACAGAAAATGCATGAGAAATACAAAGGAGCCGTTGTTCTATTGGGCAGCGGTAAGACCAATGTCCATAGATGTCCATAATGGATGGATCATCATTGTCCTTAGACAATCCTGCATAAACAGTAACTAGTCATATTGTTGTAATCCTGCACTGCTTACAGTGAATGATTGGGCTGTACTGTTTGTCACTGTGTCTTGCATAACTTTCTCAGGGACTTAGAAAATATCTAACATTAAATGATCTCAATAAAGAAATGTTTATTCTACTCTTATGTCTTAGCAGTGAGCTCCATGCAGTGAAATATGAGCATATCGCAATAGTGGACAAGGCATGACTTGGCAGGAGCATGCGACATTCAGCACCAATGACAGCTGCTTTTATACTGTCTCTGTGCATTTGGTTAAAAATCCTGTAAATATGCGATTTTTAATCAGATTCGACAATAACAAAGCTAAAATAATGTGACTCAAGAACATCTTATCATAGGCGAGTAATTACACTTTTGTGTTTTTGTTCAGATACATGCATTTTTATTTAATCTTCAATAACTACAGCTCTGACCTCTGACCTTATGACCGTCACTTTATGCTACTGTCACTTTACTGCACTCTACCGCACTCTTAAGGGTCTATTGTGGGCACTTGTATATAGTAAACTGAAGACATTTATGTAGATTTTTATTTATGGATGCCTTCTTGTTTTTATTCTGATTTAACTTGTTTGTACCGAGAGCCAAAGCAATTTCCTAGTTACTCACATGGCAATAAAAAGGATTCTGATTCTGATTCTGATTGAATGGGGAGTCTTAAAACTTCTTCACGGAATGCTTAAATCTGTGTGTTTCTTCAAAAAACATTGGATGACTAGAATTAGTTAAAAAACATTCAATTGATGTGAATAATCAAACAACTTGTTACAGTCCTACATTTTAGATAGCCAGAAAACAACAAGTGCTCATTTCCTTTCTATTTTTAGGTGTTTTATTGCACCAGTTGTAGTAAATATTTGCACTGTGCTGCTTGTTCACTCTAAATGAGCACTCCCAAATATCACAAAAAAATACTGACCTAGTTATGACTGTACACTGACTAATAGATGAAGTCTTGTCATGACACCAGTCAGGAGCTCGGGAATCCAACACCAGTCAAATGGCAGCCTGCTGTAAATATGAAGTTAGAACTGCTTCTCCACAAACCCCATGACCCTGACCTACGTTTCACAACTGCATTCCAACCAGCACTGTAAGCAACACAGACAACTGCCACTCAGAGCTACAGCCGTGCATTTCATTTAGAAGCTTTTTTTGGCTCCAAAACAAGACAAAACAATCACCATAAACATAGTGTTATTATTCATTATGTCTGCATTTCCTATTAGCATGATTTATTGCTTCTTCTCCATCATCATCATGTAATAATACATACTCTCTTGCCTTATCTGGGGCCAGGACTCTCCTGAAAGAGAGATTCTGAAATCTCGGTGGGACTTTCCCAATTAAATAAAGGTCAATAAATAAATAAATATTTACAGGTGAAACAGTATAATTGAACGATGTTCTAATTTTTCCTTTGTCCTGAGGGTTTTTCGTTCAATTGTATCAAGTATGGGCACGGTCACATAGGTTTTTTTTGCATCTCCTCATTACATGCTAAAAAA